ATGTATGCAGTATATGGCAGTGATAGTAAGTTAAACTAAGCCTTGCAAACACCTATACTGCAAGTTCTAAAGTACAAACATACCTGATAGAATCTAAATTTTAAACCCTTGTATGTTGATAGGAGTTTGCCACACAGAGAATGATGAAAGATGCCACAGAGGCTAATGCTGCATTTTTGGAGGTGGGAACTGACATTGCTAATGAGCTGGCCGGTAAAGATTCCACCCTCAGCAAGGAACTGATGGAAGAAATCAAGCCTTTCACCGAGGCTCTTGCCAAACAAGTAGAGAACTTCCAGGAAGAACTTAATGCCCTCAAACAGACAATTAAGAACATGAAGAAAAATAATGACCTTTACTTGGGTGACCTCAACCAATTCTTTAACAACTCCATCCAGGAATTCATGTAAGAATACTTCAGCCCTCTCTAGATTTTTAGGATGATGGCTAAACAATATGAATGTTTAAATGCATTATGACTTTGATTCCTTGCAGTGTTGCCTATGGCAGAGGTCTACGACAGATGCAGACTTCATACAATGAAATGAAGACCAAAATCACTGAACTATCAAATGAAGTCAGAACCTATCCATTTGCAGAGAAATACACCAAGATGGTTAATGATATGTCATCCAAATTTGAGGTAAGAATTAAACTTGCAGTAAATATCTACAAGTATACTAAAACAATATTATGACATTGATGTGATATTCCTGTGATGTATCAATTTTCTTCTTTAGGAATACAAAAAAGAAGCTCATAGTTGGATGATGACGGAGATAAAGAGCATGACATCTAATATTAAAGAAAACATCCGTCTCCTTCAGCAAAAGATCCAAGAACTTCTTAAGAAGACACAGACTATTGCATCACGTATGTTTCCCTACCAAACTGTATAATACAGACACATTTCTTAGAAACAATGACATATTGATTTAGCAGAAATATTTGAAAGATATATATGATGAGCTTCTTCTCTCTTTACAGAAAAACTGGACTTGATTCTGCAGCATCCAAATGTCCAAAGGATACAAAAAGAAGTGTCTGCTCTCTCCCAAAGACTCCCAGACATGCCTGATATGCCAAACTACAATGTCTACGTCAAAAAGGTCAAATCTGCCATCAAAGGCATCGACATTAAGAAGCCATACAATGATGTGGTTACCAAGGTAACAGCTGTTGTGAACGATAAGTACAATGAGCTCCAGAAGGACCAAGACTTCGTCAAGTTCCAATAAACTCATGAAGGAGATCTATGAGCAGGTATATAAAACGTTTTATTTGTAAAAAAAAATTGTAGTTAACTTTATCACTTGATTCTTCAATTAAAATATTATTTGCTTATAAATGTGCTCAAATACTACTTATTAAACCAAAATAACATTTAGATTTTTCTCTTTATTTCAGTTGTCCAAGGAATTTGAATTTTTGTCCATCAGAAAACAACTTATGGATATTGCCACTCAGATGCATGGTGATATCAAGAAATTCATTGTGGAAGACATAATTGAAATGAAAATCTTAGGTTTGGACAAATCCAGAGTCATTTCCTTTGACCCTGAAAATGGCAAAATTGAGGTAGATATCTATCTCCCCACCAAGATGGAAACCCTTGACCGCCTGCCCAAGATCCCAGTTACCAAATTCAGAAATGTAATGAAGGATGTTGCAGGAAAAGTTCAGACCATCATACCTGATACCGATTTCTGCTTCTGGGACGTCTACTATAGATTTAGACCTGCAAGCCTCAACCCCATTGACTGGATCCCTCCCTTCAAGGGCTATGCCTATGTGGCTGGTAACAGGCATTACATCACTTTTGATGGGAAGAAATTTGACTTCACTGGTGACTGCAGTTTCATCTTGACTCGTGACCTGGTTAACCAAAATTTCACTGTCATCATGAACTACAAGCCAAACAAGAACACCATGGAATCTCTCCTGGTTCTGGCTGAAGGAAAGACAATTGAAATCTTCCCCGACTTCACTGTAAGCTGCCGTTGTTTTCTTCCTTTATATTAAGTTTTTAACAAAAAATAGCCTATTGTCTGTAGTTTTACAGGTAATTGATGATTAGATAATTTTTCATCTGTTCATTCTTTTTACAGGTAAAGATAGACAACAAGCCCCATGAGTTCCCATATATTTCCCATAAATTGAGTCTTGAACGAGTAGGAAACTGGATAGAATTGGATACTGGACGAGGACTGGTCATCACAGGAGATCTTCCTAGCAATGTGTTCACACTAGAGGTCAGCGGCTGGTACTTCGGCAAACTGGCAGGATTGCTGGGCACCTATAACAATGAACAGTATGATGAACTGACCACCTCTGACAACCAGATTGTCAAGAATGAGGATTCCTTCTACAATAGCTGGGAGGTCAGCAAAAAATGCAGACCCAATGGAAACAATGCTGTGGACATCATCCAGGATTCTAATGATGCCAAGTACATCAAATGCTCCAAAGTCCTCAAGTCCTCAGATTCTGTCCTTAGGCCTTGCTTCAGACAAGTATGTTATGACAATTGTTTTGGATTACAAAAAAAAATAAAATCAAAATTAGAAAAATATTGTTCAGTATGTTCTATATTTACAACCATATTTCCTTTGAAGGTGAGTCCAGACAAAGCCTTTGAGATGTGCTTGAACCAGGAAGATGCCTGTGCTGCTGCCAGATTCTATCTCCATCAGTGTCAACAAGAAGGTGTCCATCTCTCTCCTCCAAAGGAATGTGGTATGTATGAAAATCTAAAAGCTCTAGCAATTCAGCTTATGATTAACATCATATAGACGCAACTGTTTAGTCCTATTTATGTGTTATAATGTTCATAACCAACAGTTCAGTGTGTTGCTCCTAATGAGGAGAGTTTCGTGGCTGGTGAGACCATCAGGATTTCCTCAATCACTGATGATTACAAGCCTGTTTCGTCTGCTGACACAATTTTCATTGTGGAGGAGAAACCATGCAACAGAGAAACAACCAAACATCTTGGATCTCTGGTCTACGAAATTGAGCAAGAACTCACCAAAACTGGTATGTTTATTTCTTCTCCAAAATTCCAGTATGATCTCTTCTTTTCTTGACTTTCAACATTTCTTTCAAATAATAGCTCTGTAAGTATACCAAAAACAATGCAATATTCATTCCTTTTGCAGGTATCTCAAACAACAAATATGGACTGCTAGGATTCAACAAGAAGGGCTCTCATGTTCACACAATGGAAGGCCAATTACTCAACGACGCTACCAAGTTTGTCATGGGTGTAGAAAGCCTCACTTTCACTAGTCATAAGACAGACACCCTAAGAGCAATCCTTGAGGCTGCCAATTATCCATTCCGTGCTGGTGCAGTCAAGAACATCATCCTTCTGCAATGTGGAGTCTGTTCCGATATGAAAACCATGCAATACCACCAAATTAGACACATTCTGCAGTCTAGAAATATCAGATTCCACATTCTGAGAGACCAAGAATTTATGCTTGGAAACAGAATTCCAAAACAGAAAATCTTAGGTATGCCCTCTTTTTTTAACTTAATGTTTTCCAAGATAAAGTCAAGTATACACATATATTTCCATTATTTACATTAAGATTTTTAAAATTCATTAATCACATAAATGCAGATTTTATGATGACAAAACCTCTTCACAGGTGTTGACAGAGACAGGAAATACGTCCTTCATAACTCAAACGACCAGAGTCTGGAAAACATGGATACCCCAGTGGACACCTGCTCCCATCTAGCCCTCCTCTCCAATGGTTCCATCTTTGATTCCAGCTCCATGCTTATGAAGAAGGTCCGCCACCAGAAGATGGCCATTGACACTATCAGTAATCGTGTGGCCAAGTCTTCTATCCCCACCCAGTGCCAGGTTTGTCAGTGCGAGACTGATGAGACAGGTGCCCCCCGATCAGTCTGCAGAAGTTGTTACTCAGAAATGAAAGATGTGAGTAGGATTTATTTAACATATTCATAATGCAATTTTTAATGATGTAGGTGTGTAGCTATGTGATTTGCATCTACAATGATTTACTGTTCAAACCTTTTTGTAATTTTCCTTGTTATAGTACCTTAGTCTTTGGTGGAGCCAACTTAGACATCCAATGACACTCGAACAAGAGATTAACAAACAATTTCAGGTAAAATATTTTAAAAAGTCCCATAATACCAGTTACATTAAAATACTACCAATGATAAGGAGCACTCTGCACTTTTGCATTTTACAAGAATTCTAATTAAGATTTTTTTTCTTTTATAGGAGTTCCTGAATGCCAAGAAAGGATGGGCAGTCCTAACAGCATAAATGTGATGATGTTTACCAATAAAACAATGACTTTACTGTGATTTTTGCAATGAACAATGCAAATGTTTTCACTCATCACCATGACAACAGTACTCATTAACCATTACCTCCTACAATACATTCCTGTGAATCATTTGTTATTTTTATGATGAAGTTCAATGATAAACAAATTTCAAATAAAAATCCTGTATATATTTGTGACATTATTTATTGTTTATTGTTAATAAAGTATAGAATATTTTTGACACATTATGATTTATATTTTGTTTGTAGCATTGACAGCTACTGTTACTTAAATCTGCATCTTACAGATAAATACAATTAAAACATAGAAGTGTTTTTATGTATGCAGTGAGTATATACACAGAATAATACATTCATACTCATAGAGTGTTAGTGACATGTATGAATCTGATGAAAATTTTTTTAATTTTGTTTAAAAACATTCAAATTTTCCAATTTGACTAGTTAGTCAATTCTTGTTATCTTAATTCAACAGGAACTGAGATTAAGTTCTGAGGATTTGAGCAATACAATCCATTTTGATGAATTCAATTTTAATTAAAATATGTGTGATTGTAACTAATATTTAAACTTCAGTTTGATAGCTATGTAGCAATTTATTTTCAAACTAAAGAAACAGTTTCATCATCCATTGAATTAAAAATATTCAATTAATTAAATGATCTGTTTGTGTCTTACATACCTTTATTTGAATTCATAAAAGTCCATGTGTTGATGAAGGAGTACCTTTAACAGAAAGAAAGATAAAATACAGTGATGTGTCCATTTCTCTGCTTTTGATTTAAAAAAAAAAAAAGACAAATCTTTGATGTTCTAATTAAATATAAATTTGGCAACCCACGGAAACGAATTTTTCAATGATCATTTAGTATATGAAATGCATGTATACCTTTGAATACATACTCACCTCATTTCCCCAGCTTGTCCAATGTGGCCATAAATTCCTTGCAAACAACTCCAAGCATCTTGGGTTTTCTTTTAAGTACTTCTTGAGAACCTCTGAAATCAAAATAATTGATATATGCTTTTTCATTGTTTATTTCATGTACAGGGACATTTTATTTTCATGAAAAATTTTATAATAAATAACAACTGGATATCTTCAAAGATAAAGTAATCCTTCCCCTTTATAATATTAGAGGGGGGGGAGAGAGCTACCTGTTACTGTATTCAGGGTAATACCGATAAATTTATGTTCAAAGAGAGATTTATAACTATGTCTCTTTTAAATTGGCTGTTCATGAATTCACCCACTGATGACCACAGCAGCAAAATGAGTGAAAATAAGGGAGCAAAAATTCCCCTGCATACAGATTTTACATTATTAATATTTATTTACATAATGTTCAGTTTCCATTTGCTATGTATTACTGTCTTTGAACTGATTACTCTTTAAACATCTTGTGTTTTACTCACCAAATAGTGGAGGTTTAACAGAGTGTAGAGCACAGGGAACACTGATTATGACTCGACTATCAGGAAACGCCTCCAAATCTTCCCCTTTCTTTTTGTAAACACTGGAGAGTTCCTTTGATCCACTATCTTGAGGAATCCCCACCACCAAGGATCCACCACTCTCAGTCACTATTTCTTTTTCCTCTGTATCAGTTTTTACACATGAAATTTTAACACTGGCAGAATCACTTCTGCTGGTATTTTCCTCTTTATTTTCCTTGGTTGGTTTTTCACTTGAATTCCTTTGCCCCATGCAAAGCTTGGGCTGTTGTGGTTCATTGTATCTTCCAAGTAGTATTATTTCGTACGGCTTCTTGTGATCAGAGTTTATGTCATAAATCATCTCACCATACTTGGTAACCTATGGGAAAAATGCACTTTTCTGAAAACTGTATGTATTTATATGATACTACTGATCTGTGATTCATGCATAAACTACAAATGATTGTTACACAACTTAGAAGATACTGTAAATGTATTATATTTGGTGTGTACGATATTTAGCGGAAATTCAATTTTCAACAAGTTTGCGTAAATTTGATTTAACGCTGTCTGAATTTGCTAGTTATAAAAGTTAATATGCAAAACATTTAGCGATGTACTTGATTGAGCGGACTCTGCTTTCCACCAAAATTGCTAAATAGAATACATCGCTAAATGTAATACGTTTACAGTATATTATTAAACTATCTTGCTTACTGTAAGTGGATCATTTTGGACAAACTCATTTTAAACTGACCTTTAACCAATGCCATTCTGCCACATGTGTGACTGACCACTTTGGGAAGAGAGTTTCCTTGACAAACTCGAGGTGCTTCATTCTGTTGGTTACCCAGACAACCACCAAACAACCTGGAGCTGCCAGCTTCTTCATACAAATACTCAGTAGGTCCTCATCTCTCAGACTGCCATACCTAGTCAAGATTCAATAAAGATATATTCACATCAAGTACTGTATTACTTGTGAAAAAAGAAACAGAATTTTCTTTACATTCCTATCATTACCAAATATAAGCCATCTCTTGTCTTAACTGCTCTAAGTTTTCAGTAATTAAAAATGTTTGGAGCAAAGATGCTGAAATGCAATTCTTGAACATGTATGCAATTGAATTCTGACACACAGTTTGAGGCAAATTTGCAGCAAACTCTTCAAATCACTGACACAATGTGTTGCAAGTGAAAAGTGTGCTGAAAACATGTGGCACTTTTTTCCCTTGGGTAAGGGTGCTTCTTTCTCTTCAAAACATACATTTTTTTCCTCTTCACTGACTTGTTCTGCCATGGTGGGTCTAGCACAATCAGATCATATTTCTCTTCATCTGTAAATAAAGATTTCCATTATCAAAATCTCCACTTATAAAAACATTTGAATTCATGTGGCCAATTTTTCTTTGTATTTACCTACCAGATGTGGGGTAAATGTTTTGGAGGTGGTTGAAATCAGACAGGAGGAAAGTAGACTTGTGGGGTACAATGTAAGTCTCTGAGTCAAAATGACAAAGCCTGGGGATGCTCCAGTTATTCCTGATAACTCTGTTCACACAATCTGACAACTTCACTAGAAACAAAAATACAATACCTCAATGTTAAATTGAATGCAAAACTGTTTGGGTTTTTTAGGATACAGGGAAAAAACATTCAACTTTATTTGTCCAAAATCATTATAAACTAAAAGCTGTTTTAATCATTATTTACAGTGTAATTCAAAATGAAATTTTAGATTTTTATGTAATATGCTCCTAATCTCAATCTTTGATCACTTACTTTGTTCAGTCATTTCCATGACTGGCGGCTGGCAGTCAGTGAGCGGAGCCTCTGTTTGACAGACATCAATTAGAGAAGTGTCTCCTCCCCTTATACTAGCCGCACCTCTTGCTGCTATGTTATTGTCCAACACTTCAGGCCCTGATACTTCATTGCCTGTCTCTGAATCCTCTTTATCCTGCACGTCTTTCCTTGCAAGAGAACTGACAAATTCACTTTTATCCCGAATGATTCCCATTGCTCTAGCTTTGTCAGTTAGTTTCCTGTGGACATCTGTCACCCTCTGGACAATTTGTGAATGGTACTTCTTGGCCTCAATCTCTCCTATGTTAAGCTCTGACTTTCTTTTTCTCTAATAAAATAAATAACAATAAATCTTGACCGAGTTGTATATGTCATTGAGAAACAAAGTTGTATGATTAACACTGAATTAGTTAGTTTGGAACATTTTTTACCATAATGGATTGAAAAATTTGAAGAATTTGTTTTTTAAAATGTTCATCATAAAAGAAAATCCAGTTAAAGAAATGGGGATGGGAGTTTACTATTATATGTAAATAGCAAGATTTCTTTTAAGCTATAAAGTCAAATAACTAATAAATGTGACAGTTGTGTAATGCTTTAGAAAAGACAATTCAACATAGGACTCTACCTAACACACATCACATTCAAATATTGTTTTATTACATACTTAGTAATAAATACAGGATTTTTGCATATGCGATATGCCTGACATCACAATAGCCATATCAACCCTGCAGTATGATATGGATTTGTGGGGCTAATACGGATTAATATCACACCCTTAGTAAATTAAGCCTAAAAAAAACACTAATTGTGATCATACAAATATTTTGGGGGGTACATATTCTTTATTTTTAACTTTTTGAATATAAGGATAATCTAAATGACAAAAAAATAAAAATTTCAAATTATGGATCGGGCACATTTGAAATAGAAGTAAACCCAAACCGCATGAGACAATATTAGTTATTCAGGTTCAATCAAGGGTGTACGGGGATTTACCCCAGGTTTTATTCTAATAGACTATAAACCCTGAGGCCGAAGGCTGAAGGCAGAAGGGTGTATGGAATACAACCCGGGGTAAATTCCCATACACCCTTGATTGGACCTGGACAGGATTTACCCCGGGTTTTATTCCATACACCCTGAGGCCGAAGGGTGTATGGAATACAACCCGGGGTAAATCCCCGTACACCCTTCATTGGACCTGGATAACAAATTTATTTCCTATGTATCCATAAAAATTCTTTGTAAACATAAATCCAATCTACTTTGTCCAACCTATCGATAAGATTTACTACGTACTACAATGCATCGTGAAAAATTAAAAAAACTATGCATTGTGACGTCATGTTTTATTTACACCCGGCTCAAGTCGGGTGTACGGAAATTTACAACCGACTTTGTAACCAATCAAAGCTCGTGTTACAAGCTACATAGGAAATAATAGATCATGTACATGTAAGAACTCCGTGCATGATTTTTTACTTATTTTCTCATCTAAATGTGTACTGTATTTTATTACTAAATATGTAATAAACATAATAAAACATATCCTTTTCCACATCCCATCCTGTATCAGTCCTCGACCAATATCAGCCCTCGGGCCTTAGGCACTCTGGCTGATATTGGTGTCTCGGGCTGATACAGGATGTGATTTGGAAAAGGGTATATGTTAAAGTATTCTCTATATATTTGCCTCTGATATTATTTGAATATTTCAACAATCTTTATTAAAGTTTCAGCTGGGCCTCCAATACCTTTCTCTTGCGCTGTGGTACACCCTTTTCTTTTGAGGTTTGTTCTGCCAAAACCTGGGAGTCCATTTTGTAAGGTTCATGAATGTCAAACAGGTCTGAAATCAAACTGCACGAGCCAACAGTCTGCGTATTGATTTGGACTTTGTTGTAGACTTTCTCAAGTGCTTTAGCATGATCAATAAATGCACCATCTGAAGTTTCTATTACAACTGCCATCCTGATAGATTCTAAGATAGTATATACATTGTATTTGAATTACATATTACACCTAGACCTATAATTACGTACATACCCAAACTGTCCATTGGGGTTTAAATTTCTGGTCAATGATACTTTTCACAATGAAATATATTCCTAAAGCATATTAATGAATAAAACTCCAAAAGACCTAACTGTAAACTATAGTGTCAATGCACACTCCAGATGTAAACAAACTTCCATGTGCCACTGAAGAGTTCAAGTAAAGAAAGATAACTTTAGCAAGAGTGACAACTCTTCAATTTTCCTCACAACCAACAATAAATTATTGAAAAATATTTTATTTATGGACGGATTTACTCATTACATATAAATAAACAAAATGTCATTGAAAGATCTTTTTCTAATGTCTCTACATGCTGGTCTTTCCCGCCATCTGTCTTTGTAGAACTAAGTTAAACTCATCAATGGAAGAAGAAACCCGTTTGGATATGGCCCTGTAATCACATTCCATTGTCTTGGTGCTGATAACTGTGTTGTGGTTAAGGAAAAGTTAAACCCTAGGTTACTGTTTGAATTTCGGGACTTCAGAGTTGGAGGTTTTTTTGGTACAAAAAAAAAATCAATTATTACTTATTGTGTTATCATTACTAAAATTAAATATATTTGAGCAACAGAAAAGGATACATTCTTTCATGACAAAGTTGTTCTGTTCATGGTGTTGCCACTTCTTCTCTAAGTTACCCAGCTGTTGATTTAAAAAGAAAAAAAGAATATCAGATACATCTCACTTTAACAGCAAAATATAGAAACTATATCCCAATTCCTGGTGAAGTTAATAACCATTTGAGAAACATTTTTCTGATGAGTTTTACGTCTGAACATATTCATAGTATGTCTTACCTGAACGAACGTCTCATTCTCATTCAGTTGGGCCTTCATGCCCTCATACTGGCTGGTCAGCTGTTGCATGGTCTTCTTAAATGTATCCCTCCTCCTTTGCAAGATCACTCTGTCATCCATCAATTTCTACAAAATATATGGACAGGTTAATTCTTTTGAAATTATTAGCTAAAAAGAAAAATACATGTACATGTAGTATGTCAGAATCTATGAACTTTTTTGTAAACTGATCAGTATTTGCACTCTAAGCAAATTCACACTCATATTTCAGCTATGCTGTAGCATATTGCAGCTGAATTACAAATCTGGCAATCTGACTCAATATATTCATTCATGCCTATAATAAACATTGATGACTAACCCTTCTCTTTTTCTCTGCCTCTTCTTTCAGAGTGCTGAGATCTGAGTAAACCTCCAGTTCTTTTTCCATGGTGGAGATCTTCTCCCGTAACATGACCAGTTCTGTGTTGATTTTCTCCTCTAATTGTTCTACCTTCTGTAGATCAGACTGTAGTTTGTCACTCTCTGGAATGAAATAAATTGTACATTTGTATCTTAACTTCTTAGCATCATGTGAATTACAAATATCTAGAAGCTAGTACATGTGTATCTTCCACATCATCAGTGACCTCCATTTATGTTCATTTCAGACAGCGACAATGTAGGAATGTTATGTACACATTTATCCTAGCCTACAAATAAATCCTACCTGCAGCCAGTCCTACTGTTGTTTGTTCCGATTTCTTCATTTCACCAGTCTTAAACTCTAGATCTTCCTTCATTGTTCCTAGCTCTTGTGGAGTGGGCAATGCAGTGAAGCGACTCATATTCTACAAATCAATAAAGCATCATAACATTCAGTAGTTTATACACTCTTTTTTTTTTTGCACATCAACAATATAGTCTGAAATATTAGCAAAATTTCCAGAACAAAAACAATCTAGATTACAGAAAGAGTAGCAATCTCCTTCAGACTCTGGACATTTCTTCTTCAGTGGTTTTCACATAATTTTAATAGTTTGAAGTATTTCGACAATTTCTGGATGATGCATTTGATACAGAGCTAATAAACATAAATCTTATCCTTAAAACAAACCTGATTTATGCATTTGAATTTTGTGAAATATTACTTATTTTCAGAGATTTCCAGTATATGTTCAAGTATTCTGAGAAGATTATTCCACCTACCCGACTTGTGTGTTCAAGGAGAGACACAATGTTCTGCTCGGTCTGTTTTAATTTTTCCTGGAAACAGAAATATCAAGTGGTATCAATGACTCATATGTTTTAAACACACTTTCAAAGTACATGTATCAAGATTTCAAGGTTGACAATTGCTTTTTTCTGTTTCATCACTTTTACTTATCAATTCATTTGTGCTCCGATCCACTACTGTTTTGCTTACCAGTTCTTGTGCTTTTGATTCTTCAAAGTTATTCAGGAATTCTAAACAATACAATAATAATACATTTTTCATCATTTGAAAACAATATCTTCAAATTAATATTCATACATACAAGTTCTCAAAATAAAACATGAAATGAAGCTGGCTATGTCCATTTGATTTCTCACCATCTATAGTTTCTTCTCTTTTCTTTAATTCTTTATATTTCTGATTTCTCTCTCCTGTAAAAAAAAAAAAGAATATTTAAGTGTAAACATTTAAACTCCACAAATTATTTTTCTCCTTGATTATTTTCTCTTTATTTTTTTCTTTTGCATTCTTGATTCTATTCTACCTACCCTGATTCTCCTCTATATCAAGGTCAAGTTGTCGGATCTCTTCTTCAATATTTTCAATTTTCTCCCTCAGCTCATTAGTCCTACAAGAGCATAAAAAAATAATCATGATATATAAAACACTTCAGGTCACCTGGTGAGGCAATAAAAAAAATAAATTTTGAATTAAATACTAATTGATGTTTTGCATAATACTCAATGATATAATCTTCATATTAAGTGCACAATCTCAGTAAGGGTAATGACTGACTGTCTCTCTAAGCTGGCAATCTCCTGGTTGTCGTCCTTGACCTGTTTCAGCAGTCTCTCCCTCTCCTCGGCAGGGGACTGTTTATTCCGAGTTTCCTCCAAATAGTTATCCCTCTGGATCTCCAATTCATTAATCTGGTCATAAAGCCTCACTGAAAATAATTAATTTCAAAAATTTTAAAACTTAGGCTCATGAACACAATAAATAAAATTCTGTATTTAGTTTCATTCTTTTTTATTTCAAACTATATACATACCTGCCTCCTGTTTGACTTGAGACATTGATAATTCCTGGAAAGATAATCACACATTGATATTAATGCACCTACATGTAGTATGGTTAATTTTTCCTTTCTTATTTTCTTGGTTTAATTGATAAAATTCCAATTTACTTGTAAAGTTCATTAAATTTACTTATTAATTAAGTAAAACTTTCATTCTCATTTCTTTGTGACCACACAGCAAAATACTTCAGAACATGAATTGCTAATGACAATGTATATGCTGATTGAATGAAGATCATACCTCTTGAAGGTTTGCTGTTTTAGAGTTGAGTACATCTAACTCTTGCTGTGATTTCTCTAGCTGTCTTAACATGTGTTCATTCATGTCTTTGAGGGAGAAGTATCTCTGTTTCATGTCTGGCTCCTAAAAAAAAGAAAGAATATTAGTTTTGGTTTTCCCGAAGCTCAGTAAATTGTTCATTACAGCAATACTGTTAAACATATAAATGAACAATCCAGTGCAAATAATCCTTACCATATCATTAACCAAATTATCAGCCATGCGTTTTTCTTGGTCAAGTTCTGTTTCTAGCTGTCTAATCCTCTCCTCTTTTCTACCATGATAAAGGAAAAGTAGAGTACAAAAAATAATTGGTATAAAAATATTGAATTCAATTTAAATGCATTATACACCAACTCCAAATATTTAAAACAATGCCTTATTTATTAAAAGGAGTTTTAAGCACAGTAAATATGAAAATACCTAAAACTATTTAAAAGTAATACTTTCTATGGTACTTCTAACTTACTCTTTTTTAACTTCAAATAAATCTTCAATTTTCTTTGCTTCTCTTTCATTGTTTGCTCTCAGCTGCAATATTTATGACCATAGAATAAATAAATACATTTTAAAAGTTCCCATTGTTTATGCTTTTCTGTATTGTGTTTCTATACATATTTTAAAAGATGCAGAAAATAACAGCATATGTAGAAATAAGAATATTCTGTTTAAAAGTTCACTCACATCGTTTAAGTCAAATTCCACATCTTGAATATCTTCATCTGTAGTTAATTTGTCAACAAGCTGAAATAAGTTATTAATATTTTAAAACAAGATCTATTCCTAGAATATGAGGACCAACATCATATACAGAAACTTGTTATTTCTCAAGATTGGTGAAAATGCCTTTTTCCCCTAATAACTTACTATTACACTGTATACCAATCAAGAACAACTGGAATTTATCTCATACAAAACAAATATTTTCATTACTTACATATAATTTCTCAAAAACTTACTGTGTTGTAATCCCCCAACTCTCCTTGTAGATCTCTAATTTCACTAGCAAGTGATTCAGCCCTGAAAAAAATTAAATCATAATGACCATTAGGGAGGCTTTGTCATTTTTGAATCATATTACAATGTCCATTTAAAATCATTTCTTAAAAGAAATCCTACCTCTTTTCATAAGTGAGAAATGATGAATTTTCTTCTGAGGAGTTCTCAATCTCCTGTTTCAATCTTCCATTCTCTGCATTTAATTCATTTAACTTCCCTCTGTGGATATAAAATAATTAGATCAAAGTACTAAATAAAAGCTGCAAATAACTGAGTTTAAATTAATATACTCACGATATATCTTACCTAATAAGCCCTAGGAAATATGTTTTATCTTGGACCATTCTTTGTGAGCCTGTATGAACGAATATTTAAAACAATATTTAAAGCAAGACATTACAGTCATAAACATGATAAATAAGATTAAAGTGAGACACATTCATTCATAAAATCCAACACAAAAGTTTTTTTCTCTTTTATTGAAAATGTTCAGACCTCCTTTTATTCCTGTTTTCATTCCTCCCAATCCTTGTTGTGTCATGGGTCTGTCAACCACTGTAACTTGAGATGACAGTGCTACAACACAAGATTTTTAAAAATAAATTTTAAAGTCAAACAATGAATTTTAAAAAGGATGCATGTTTAACTAAAATGTGAAAAAAGAAAATCTTTAAATTTTATTTACTTTGTAATAAGAATTACTCAGGATGTATAATTTCTACATAGCCTAAGGTGGATTTCTCTGCAAGAGGTAAAATAAAAAAAAGAAGACAATCACATACCAACACCTCCCCCAGTCTGTCCCCCTCTAGTTCCAGGTCGCGCTGTCCCAGGATTCTGTAAATGTAAAGCATACATGTACTTGTACATCGGTTATAAATCATTGTGACAATATATTCTTCAATCAAGAACAAATTGATAATATTCAAATATTAAGGAAAAAAAAACAGTTTTCAGTTCATAAAAATATATATTTATAAAAATGTACCATAGCTGTTGTTAATCGTGTGGCAGTGCCTGGCTGCAGTCCTGGAGCTAAAAAGAGAAAAAAGTATATGAACATATCTAAAATATGTTAACACAGATTTAAAAATCATATACAGCATATAGAGTCTTGAGTCTGTAATCATGGTAATTTGTTGTAAAATTCACAAAAATTAGTTTACAAATGTAAGGATACCTGCTGTACCCAGCCTGGCCCCAGTCCGTGGTCGACTGCCACTTGCTGTTGGTACTCTTCCACTCCTTCAGAAAGTAAAAAAATGTATTACTTGTTTATCTGTCATATTTATATGCAACAAATAATAAAATATGCATTTTTTTTCTCCTAGACTGTGAGTCGCAAATATTACCAGCCATGGCTAGGTTCAAGGAACATGACTAAATTATAAACGTGTCTACTTAATTAATGCCACTTGCGATTCACTACAAAATTTGCTTAAAATTTAACATGCTACAAGATATCAATGTCTTTTTTATCATCCTTATTCCTTAACATTGCTGATTTTAACAGGACAAAATAAACATTTATTTCTCATTCATTTACGTTGGGTAAAATTTAAAATGATTTTGTGACGTATATCAGAAATACGGCATCGATGAAAGGCAAACGAATATAACTCCTTGACAGTTAAGTTAGAACATTCATTCATTGATTATGTACATGCCAGCCAAACAGAGAATTCCGAGTTTTTCTTTTCTTGTCCCATTCATTTGTTACGGAGTCATTTAGCGTACTTGATACTACAAGCAACAATTATTCTAGAAGGCTTGAAAACAATAAATCCCCCCTGAGATAAGAAAAATAATCATATTTACATGATTCTCGATGTTGTCTGTTGACAGGAAACGCAATGGAATTTCGCGCATAGGATTATGGGTAAACCAATAGAAGGGTAAGTTGAACTTGTAATTATTCGTGCAGGTTTTCATCTATTTAATAATTTTTTTTATTTTTTAAACAGCCTTTTCTCTCAGTGCTTGGTAAATTAAATTTGCTTTATACATGTATTTAGATCTTATAAAAAAAAAATTTATCCATTTTATGAATTAGACCCAAATTAGAGATATTATATAAATTAAAAGCCCCCCCGACTACTTGGGTGCCTCGAGTCATTTATTTTAGCTAGACTACATGGAAAAGTTATCTCTACTTTAAAGAGAGCTCAGTTTCTTCTAGCTAAAATGTAGGCACCCTTTATATTTGATCTCCAGCATCCTTAACAATGATTAGTTGACTAGTGAATTTATGATGAATTGGAATTTTTAATATTTAGGTACCTCAAGGTATAGTTGAACTTGGATATCTCAAACATATGTATCTTGAATACTGCAGAAAATGTCAAATCAGTACAGTGTCTCAACCACTTTTATTTAATGTGCATTTTAACCTCAATTTTGTGCATCCTTAGACTTCTCTGATTTTTTTTTTCATCAATCCTTCCCGTATGAAATAATTTAAAAGTTAGTTTGTATCTTTTATGATCCCCCATGTTCAAACTGTATCTCCTATGAGTCAATTGTTATATGTACAGCACTTTTAGAAATCAACCTAATACACCAAAACATTTATTTCTAACATCGAACCATTTAAGTGAAAAAAAGAACAAGATATAATTTTCACGTTTTATTGTGTAGAATAAAAAAAATTAAGTAACAATTATGTATATTCAAGAAATATAAATTCAAACTTTTTATATTTTTAAATGCAATAATATGCATTCTTCAGCAATAACAGTACCTCTCTGTTGTAATTCTATAACAAACTCACTAACATTGAATGATCTTGCAAATCTAACAAATACACTAACAAGGAACACAAATAAAAAACAAAACGGCAACATCTGAGACATTTTCTTTCAACTTCAGGTAGAATGTTGTTATACAGAAATATTTCCCATCATGACTCTGACCATCTTTAAAAAATATCGGCAGTATTGACATAAAATATACATGCCACAATTTGACAAGAAAGTATTTGTAGACAGAGCACAGTTTATATGTATAAACGAAATATACTGGAATTCCTGAAAATATCACCAATAATATGGACTTGTACATACCCTTTCCAAACAATATAACATATAACAACATTCAATATCTTGATTTAAACCAAGTTAGTACATTCAACAATAATGATGAACATATGTAACTTGTTTCAAAATAAAACACAGCAAACACAACACCATCTCTCACAATTCTATTTTCAGTATTTTCTGTTGCACAAAAAACACAAACTTCAATACTGCTCCCAAATGCCCTTGTTTTAACTTCTAATATATCCACATGTAAAACTCTATACAACAAACAATATCTTCATAACACAACACTCTCTGTTTGAATCTCTCTCTCTCTTATTTTTTTCACTTACACTTATTTTCAAAGAAGTAAAAAAATATACATTAACATCCTCTTTGCTAGCCAAGGATGATGATCAGCTCGTCTTCTGTTTCCTTGAAAAGATATGAGGAGTGGATTGTCACCCTTTGCTAACTAAGATGATTGTATCATCAGCTGTTGCCAAAATAACTTTGAGAAATTTTATAGATGGGAGAGTTAAATTATTAAATCATAAAATAGAAAAAGTACTTTAATACTTTTTTTCTCAGTTCCAAAATTTGTGAAGAAAGTTTAACTGTTATTCTGACAGGAGACTGCAATGAATATACATGTATTCAAATAATTTTGCTGTGCATTATCTCAGACAAATAATTCTATATGTGATTTTTGAAGGAAAAAATAATACAGTTGAACTTTGGTATTTCAATAATCGAGCATGAATACATTGTACCATGGAATATATTGGAGTGATTTCGAAATCTGAAGCCTTTTTTTCAAGTATTTTACCATTAGTATCCCACAACTTAAGATATCTCTTTTTTTCCTGGTCCCATCACTTTGAGATAAGAGGGTTCAACTGTACTTCTTAAAAATAAGACAAAAAGAAAAAAAAGTGCAAACAAGTCTTCACCACTCAGAATCCTATCTTGACAACAATTAAAGAAAAAAAAGCCACAAACAAAACAAAGGACAAGAAAAAAAAAATAATCAAACACACAAAACAAAAGCAAAACAACCAACCTTCAGCTATTAAACTTTTCATACATAAACTTCAACATGGAAATGTTATACATCTAACAAACAAAAATATATATCTGTAATCTACTGGATTTTCTTAGAAGCTTCATTGGAGTTCTTATCAAAATTAACTTTTAACACTTTATGAACACCTTTTAACATTCTGTAAAACCAAAATAAATTGATGACATCAAGAACAAGACAGGAATATAACAGGACATTTTGAATGTGACCCGATCTCGTAAATGCTTCTGTTCCATACACCTCATACACTCTCATCCAATAAAATGGCATTACAACAATACGAACAGCAAAAAAAGATAGAGTCATTAGGATGCCATTAGTAAATCCCAGTGGGTCTGTTTTCTTTATTCCAAGCATGTCAAAAAAGTACCTGAAATATAGCATAAAGTGGATCAGTTAACAGCAGATAATGATTATAACATTAATATTGTCCAAAGGCACTCCCCATCTTAATTGTTAAAAAAAATTTACATCTACTACATGCACTACAGTTTAGTAGATGTAATTTTTTTTAACAAATTAAGATGATGAGTGCCTATGATTAATGTCCATCAGAGTTCACCATCACAAAGTCCACAACTGAAAGGCCAGTTAGAGTAGCACACAACTTTTACCATAACAAAATAGAACAATTGTTAGTTATTCCAAAGCTACTAACTTAGGGCATTTAGAATTGCTGAAAGGCAGATAAATATCAAAACAAAGGAATGATACATAAAGTCAAACTTAATAATCTCAAACAACATGGGACTGAAATAACTTTGAGATATACAAGATTTGATATATTAAAAGTTTAAAAGAACAAAGGGCCCAGTAAGCCACATTGCCCAACTGAACAATTTGATAAGAGAAAATTCAGATAAGTTCAGAAATAAAAAGTTTAAATATACAAGTGGTCCCATCATCATCAAAAGAGACTGTTTCAATGGGGGGTTGTAGCTCTCTGGAATAATTTTCCAGAGAAAAAGTTTGAGTTTCTAAAAGTTTTGTTTAGGTTTGAAAGATTGAGTTTCTCTGGTGTCCCCCTGGCCCCTAGTGAGCCTGCTCTTTTTTCAAAAACCAGAAAAGTGATCTTTTACCTTCCAACCCCCTTTGCAAGTAAAAGATGTTTTTCTGGTTTTCCACATAAGTTAAAGCTCACTAGGGGCCGCCAGAGAAACCCAAAAATTCTATCAAACCTATAACTTTTCACCGCCAAAATATGGCTGAAATATTTCCAACTCAACATTAAACAATATCGATCAATGACAATCAATCAGTTCTGAAGGCAGTCATACCTGTTGTTTACAAACGGGGTAGAAATTTCAGCCAGCAGTCGGTAATTTGCAAAATATGGCATGACTCCGAAAACCTAGAATATCAAAGGATGGCATTAGCGAAAATCTTCTGCAAGATAATTAGTAACATGTCTAGCAATGTTAAAAGATGGCTATTAATATAGTATTAAAACAATCTTACCATCACATAATAGTATGCATAAATTGAAGCTGCATGGTGAAATAAGAAGAAGAGTTCTCCAATGTGCTTGTAGTAAATGGCCATGACTACTACATCTACAAAACATTTTGTTTATTTATTTCATATATTGTTAAAGTTTTTCCAGAGCTGCAAATTAGCCTTTGATTTCTTTCAAATAAATGTTTTGGATTTTTTTTGCTTGAAATTTTCAAACAAAAATGAATTATGCACTTAACATGTATTATAAACTAATGCCTTTAAATATTCAAAATTATTGCATTGAATTATGCTGTTTTCATTTTCATATGATTTTGGTCTGTAAACAGTATGATTTTGATAATGAATAAAATTAATTAGAAGTCTTCAATATGATATATTAATGCTACTTACCAGACAACATATATCCTATTACAATGGCACATCCTGTTCTTACAATTGGACTGTCATGCCTATAACATATAAGTAAAATTGTTATCTTATAATACTAGGATTGATTACCGGTAATATAATGACAATGCTTAAACAAGAGGCCTGTTGGCTACATTGCTCATCTGAGTCACATATCCTTATCCTAACCCTGGTTCTGAAAACTATCATTAAAACACTAGAAACGCTTGAAATTTAATTCATATTTAAACTGTTCTGTACATAAATATATAATTTTTTAAGAAAATAAAATCTTTGTTATTACACTGCACATTATATTATGAGTGTTTATATTTGTTTCAGACAAGAATTAAGTGTCAAAATTTTGTAAAATTCCTGATTATTTAATAAAATTGATATATATTCTCTTTGAATTTGTTCTACTTGTGACTATGTGGACCTGGTTAGGTCTGTATAGTATCGAATACACCTCATCAAAAGTCAATCCTTGTACATTAAACATGAATTATGCAAAATGCAAAAGTAGATACATGTACATTGTATTCAAAAAATTACCAGATAGGATCCGAGCTGAGTTCTTCATCATACAAAAATGCATAAAGACAAATTGAGCTAACAATCACAGCATGAACACTTGAATTGATTCTGAAAAAAAGAAATCATTATACAAAGGATATAACATTTATATGTATCAAAATGCATTAAATGTATGTCACAAACAATAAATTTGTAAAGCAGTCCAATCTCTTCTTTTCATCAACATCTGTGCATAATTTTTGTTAGTCCCACACTAGAAACTTTGAATTCCCATAACCACTGTTGTCATTAAGAAATATTCAATGATACCAAGTGCTTTTCAGTTCTAATTCGAGTGAATCTACTAGTTTTCAATTTTGCATCTCCATAACCTCACAACATCTACTTGTAACTATATTATATTCAAATATACCAACTGATCTCCAATTCTGGTAATTCTACAATCTGTACAAGTAAATATATACAATTGTTATTACTATAACTGGTAGGTATACATAAAAATGCTAATGGCACCTTACCCTCTGTACAAAATTTGTGCTCAAGCAATAATCATACCTGGTGTCCCAGTCTATCTTGTTGGCAACAGGTAAGGTGTTGTACTTGCTGAACATTTTCTTGGACAAGTTTGGGTTGACAAACTTGAACAGGAACAGAAAGAAGAAAAAACTTATACATGCTGCTGGCAGATATTTACTGTCAAATTCCATAGACTGGATGCTGGGCATGGTGAACACTGACTAACATTACAACCCGGGCCTAAAATAGAGGAAAAACATAAATAATTATAATGAACCTTTGATTGATAAGTGTGTTTTACATGGAGTAAATTATCATATGATAACAAGTCAATGTTCTTACAATTTGGTTATCATGTGATAATGAATCAGTCAGCAACCTAAGTACAATCTACATGAGAGGGGACAGAGATTAAATCTAAAGGTCAATGAGTTGAATTATTCTCTTTTTATTTATCTGAGGATCTAAAAGCTTTCTGTTATGACACTACATCATTAAATAATGTATTGTTAGCTTTCAAGTTCACATCCACATATAGTTTATGTCCTCACCAAATAACCAACTATTAGGGACCATCTTGAATGATAACTAAAAGTACTTATATACTGTGAGCAAGCTCAGAAATTTTATGTGTTTTACCAAAAAAAAAAAATCTTTAATTTAAAAAAATGACCTTAATTCAAGAATACAGCACATATGCTGGTCATACATGTAAGCATTTTTCCATTTTAAAGTTGTGGACCTGATAGGAATTTTAGACTTTTGTCTGAAAGTGACCCGAGACTTGCCAAAATGACTTTAGGTCAAGGACAATGACACATGGCCATTTTTTGGGGGGAAAATGTACTTCCAATGTTTTCACATTAAAAAGCTATAGACTACTAGACAAATCTTGTCACTTTTCTTTGCAGTTATCACGAACTTGCCAAGATAACATTAAGTCTAAAGTACAAGCCTGGTTCAAGAGCACGGCTCTTTTAAATCATCTTTGAATAAACATCTAATGTTTCTGCATTAGAGAGTTATAGACTTGACATGAATTTCTGCCAGTGACATTGAGCTTGCTGGAATGACCTTGAGACAAGCTCATGACACATCTTCAGGTCATAAGCAACTTTTGTATGAAAAAAATGAATAAAGTTCACATGTTTCTCCATATCAAAGTTTTGGTCTTTTAAAACTCTCAACAAAGATTTTCACTTCTCTCCAGCTGAAGGAAATTGCAAGGTTAAGCTTATATTATATTCTTGGTCATAAGCCATCTTTGTGTTAAGATTAGGCTTCCAATATTTCTCACGACAGTTACAAGATGTGGACTAATTGACATGAATATTTCATTTTTCCTATTTCAATATATACCAAACAAAAATTTTATACTTCATCTATCTTGAAATTTCTGGAGGAATTGGGTGAAGGTCATGCCATATCACGGTCATAAGAATTCATTGTACCAAAAATTAAATTCTAATATTTCTCCTTTTATACAAAGTTATTCCCCTGCACACAGACAAGGTGATCCTATACACCCCCAAACTTCATTTCTGGGAGGTTTAACAATTTAGTAAGATATGGCTTCATTTTCATCTGTTTATTATCATTTTGTGAATTACTTGATGTGGTAAATAATAAAATTAGTAAAAATACCACATGAAGCAGCTGAACTGCTTATTGATGTATGTATTATAATTTATAACCAGACACTTAGTATTGATTTGGCTACTGCAAAATTCAATTGTATCCATTACAGGATGAAACACAATGTACACTACCAAAATAATTATGTTTTATTACCTATATCCTGATCGACTGGTATAATGAAACATTAATGATGCACAGTTTGTGCAGCTTTGGTCAATATATGGTACAGCGTTATGAGGAAGTAAATCCCCTCCAAACCCTTAAAATGTCCATGCTATATACATGATATAGCATATAAGATAGGGACTTAAAAAATCGCTGATTTTGCAGCTTTTTTAAATGATAGGGAAATATATAAGAAGTGCATCTAGAAAAGCAATAGAGTGAGAGTGATTTTTAAAATGGATGATTATGCATGTGAGAACAAAACTTAGTAGCATTTTGATTTAGTCCTCAAAAAAAAAAAGAATGAAACTTATGGGAGTACCTTGGTTATTTTTTCAAAGCATAAGTGATGACACTAGTAGAAAGTAATATCAACTCTATTTGCCTTGCATTAAATGGCATACAAAGAGGAAATGCAAGTAACAGGCCAGACCAGGATCTAAACCCATGTCCCCACTAGCCCCCACTATACTGACAAATGTTCTATGCTATATTGACACTACAGGTAAACAAACACGTCTGATTACCATATTTTCCCCCTTACCTTTGCTCCTGAAGACACCAACCCAGGCTCTTCCCTGGCAGGAACAATATACCTGACTAGTGTGTGATATGTCTGAAGTTCATGTTCTTCCAGAAACCTAACATATCTTATTTACTAGCATTTAAATTTTTAAAAGATTTTTAAATTTACATAAATCGGAATATTTCCTCAAGTTAGCCTCTGATGATCTGAGAATTATTGTGTTTCCCGGTATCAAACATGTTAAACAAGATAATTATCTCTTCACTCTTGCTTGTTTAGAGAAGTATTGATCATTAAATTGTAATTTTACATTCATATCACATTTAAAAAAAAAAATATGCAATGTTCATGCATGTTCAAGCAAAATCATTTAATTTGAACTGAAAAAAAAACAACAACAGCTTGTAAATGCCCAAATTGTCATTAAAATTTGTCTAGACATTAACATAAATCAGTATAATTAACATTACTGATGTATTGAGGAAACATTAAACCATATTTTTTGTATCTCATATTACAGTGTTACAATCTTTAATTATGCTGCATATTTCAATTTGTTCCCTCTTGAATCCATTGAGCCAAAATGCCATTTTTACGTGTACATGCACAACCTTCATGTTCTCTGTGTATCACAAGTATGTACTTTAGTCTTTGACAAATTAAACTATTTTGTAGAAGAATATTTTATAAGCCAGTGTTTACAAGAAGCCACTTTTGTAACAAATACTTTTAAAGGAAAGGGATGAGACACTTTCACTGCAAATTGAAATATTTAATTCAGTCAGTAATGATCAAGTTTTTTTTTTTTTTTTTTTTAAAAAAGCTTCAAAATACACAGTTAACTATCATTGTGGTTATCAGTCACCTATCAATTTTCCAGACTCTTAACTCAATGTCATCATGGGATGCAATAAGTGGTGTTTCTGTGGAATGGCTAATAGGTTTTTCCCTAAACCATGTAGAGAATCATTCAATTTAATTTTCCTATTGAGATGTCCAATCAAACAAATAGAAACAATGTGTTTTGTATGAAATTAAAGGTGGGGTTAGATTCAGGATGGCATTATTGTGTACAATGACACCCCAAAAAAGGAAGGTCTCCTAAACCACCAATTATCGTATTGTAATCATATTGTAACAATTGTTTATGCCCCTGAGGCTTCTTGATTGGTAAATAAACATAATTCTATAGATCAGACTGTAGAGGTCTAGCTACTAGTCAAAAGATCTACCTCTATACCAAATTAAAGCTGGTTATAAAAGCTTACTGGAATGCATTTCTTCCTCAACATGCTCAATCAGCAATGCCTACTAGTACTATCTGCAACAGACTTCCATCAATATATGACATATGGCAGAAATTCAACGATAAATTTCTTAATGTGATGGAAAGACCTCAAAGATAACTTCAAGGCACTTTTACCAACCTTGGATTACACAGAAACATAAAACATCTATATATAAGAGGAAGAAGCACACCTTCTTGACGTACAAACACAGACAGTCACACACAACAGAACACTATATTATCTTCAAAAAGCTTAAGAATAATGTTTACATTCAGGAAAGGAAGGAGAATTACAAACAGTATGTTCAACACATAGTCACAAATGCCACAGGACAAAGTGGCTGTGAAGCTTACAAAACAAATGAACTATAGTACTATTTGGGTCAGAGTGCATCAGTCAACAATGAACATGGTAAACTATACCAGTTTCTGCAGGCATCCTATTCCTAAAGAGAACTGTTCTAATCCCTTATTCTTCCTTGAGTCCTATAAATGACATGCCCTTTACAGTGGGTACTACTAAACAGAGTACGCTAGAGTATGATGGAGTACTTTAGAGTATGCTAGAAAAATTGTGTATTTTAATATAATTAGATTGGTTTATTCATGTATATACAACTTGATTAAACAGTATTATAAAATAATATTGCAACATTTGTCCCAAATATTTGTAATTTTAGCGATAGTTTGACAAGAAAGCAACATTCATATTTCAATGCTTTAAAGGTTATCAACACCCCGATCTCGGTTACTATTTTGTTTCAGACTCATTAACTTTAACTAAATTTTATTTATCAAAAATTTAATTAATTATATCACGTAAAATTAAATATTTTTCACATTAACAATGAAACGTTTGAAGTTAAATTATATCGGGATAAAACGATAAACCGTAACCTGAAATCAAAAATTAAAATAACTTAAAAAATAAGGAACACATATAAATATTTTATTTAAGATATATGTTTATTATGTTAAACTTATGTAGAAAAACATACAAAAAGCAATTTAATTGCATTAAGTTATAAAATTTTACTAGCGTACTCTAAAGTACTCTATCATACTATCGTACTCTGTTTAGTAGGACCGCTCTACAGTCTCATGTAATCTACTTCTTAGTCTTCTGAGTGCCTCTGCATATAGTGATATACCCACTGGTACAAACAAACTCTGACTGAAGTTTGAGGTGACATCAACTTGAAAACTGCCTCACACAAAAGAGGTCAAAGAAATACTGCTGAGATTATGAGATATATATAATGACCATATATTTCATATCATATTGACATATACACATTTCTGTATATAAAACCAAGGCACATGTGTTTTTATTGTTTTGGAGAATTGACTTACACTGTAAATGAATTTCATATTAGGGAAGCTCACATTCCTTTAACATACGAAAATGGAACGTATCAAATACTTATACTGTGTGCTACAAATATTTGGAAGGTGCAAGCAACACTTGGAATCCACAATAAAAGAGGAAATTCGAACTAAGCTTTTCAAAAGCATGTGAATTTGCAAAGACCTACAAGCTAAGGAATGAATGCAAAAATGATCGATAAGCATTATTCATTGAAATTTGATATGAATTAACATAACTTTATGTGTACATTTACCTTAAATAACCATATGAAGACACGTAATCCCGATTCTTGTAAATAACACCACAAACTGGTTACTAATGTCGTAAAAATGATTTTTTTACGTTCATTCTTATTCCAGAGCTACATGTTTGTATGAAAGAAATTTTAAACAATACCAGCCAATATCCCTTAAATGCTTCGACAATTTTGTTGTTTTTAGATTAATCGGATTAGAGTCCTCGAGATATTTACGACAGTCATAAAACAAAATTGGTAAACATGCTGATTCTGATAGTTGCAGCATGTGTAATTTTCCTTGCTGTATGTTTTGCTGTTATTGTCACAAGAGCTATTTACCAAAGAAGGAAATCCACGGTTTCAGTACTGGCTGTAATGGGTTCAGGTTATTGATTTAATTATTAGTTTGCTGACAATATAAAACCAAAAATGAACCCCTGATTCTCTCACTCTCTGGCACTGGAAGTTAGTCTAATGTATAAAATACAAACTAGTGTAAAATTAGTGATAGTATGGAAAAGATATTTTGTGAAACACTGGTGGATAAAGTTGTTCGATTTGTAAAGTTATTTTAATTTGTATTATTAATAAGATTCTTTAGAAAGACAAGATGTTAAGTTACACATGTTACAACATAATAATGATTTTTTTTGTTTAAAGAAGTGTAAGTAAGTAAGTAAGTAAATTGTTTATTATAGTGTCATGTGTTATACAGTACAATGAAAAACATTTAATACAATTAATATCCAAACACCCGGCCCATCGGACCTATATGTCACTTTTAACAGATTGTATGAAAAAGTGTAACTCTCTCACCTAGAAGACTAGTCTATATCATATGATAAATAACAACATATATATTTAATATATTTCATTGTACAATTAAAGGAGGACATACAAAAGAAATGCTGAGTCTACTGTCAGGTTTGGGTCCTCATTACCATCCCAGATATTACGTCATTGCCAATACTGACACCATGAGTCAACAGAAAGTGGAACAGTTTGAAAAACAAAGGACTTCCACAGAGAAAAACAAGTCAGAAGTGAGTATTCCTCTGACCAGATTACAATGGATTCTTGCTCCATTCATTTGGTATTACTTGGTCTAAAAAGTCAAAATCTAAATGAGTACAAGATATTATATATTAGATAAATGTAGAGCCAATTACTTGTACCTGTTGCAAGCATGTCACTTATGCAAGAGGTTTTTACATGAATATTGTAGTTATAATGTGACAAATACCACGCTTACATGTACCACAGCACCAGAAGCATTGTTCGGGAAATACATTAATTCAAAAACATTTAATTCAATTCAATTTCTTTATTGATTCACCAAACATGTTGGCATACAACCATGTTACATATAAAAGACAAATAATAAAATACATGCATACATGCAAGTGTATGGATCAGTGAAGTCAACCATGCAGAGTAAATATTACAACTTGTAGATTAAACATAATCATTATGCAAGCAGTATAGTATGGACAGTGATGAGCTAGTAAATGCATTAAATATATAAATTATATAATTGCGCTTTATTTTTGGAACACAATTCAAAACATTCATATAAAAATTCACATAGCCTTCTAGAATGAACTGCATTGTCAGGGTTACAAAATACTTTACAATGATTTTCTTTCAATATGTTATCGTTTAAATTACAGATGTTCAAAGGACTGTACTTTTTTCGTAAATCTGTATATAAGGGACAGTCATATATGAAATGTATTTCACTTTCTACAACAGTTTTACAATAGTGACAAAAACGCGATTCTTTTGGGATACAAGGCTTTGAATATCTGCCTATTTCAATTTCTAAAGGATGTGCAGAAATTCTCAGTTTTGTTAATTTAGAACGTATAGCTTTATTTATTGGATATTTTAAGTAGTCTTGTAATTCATAATATGCACTTAACTGATATAAGGGATGGGGTGGGGCAAGTTTGTTACTATAAGAATAAAATTGCACTGGACTTTTCTCCCAAAAATTATTTTCTTTATTCTGCACAGTATTCAATAGTCCTGATTCCCAGAAGCAGAGAAGTTGCACAGTCTTGGACAAGCTCTGTCTTGTCAACATTAATAGCATTGTGGAAGTCATTTCCTGTAGTCTTCAAAAGTAACCCTGACCTTGTAAGTATTTGTACAAATTCAAAATTTTTGCTTTTGAAGTTACATGTAAAGTGCTGTTTTTTAAGTAAACATGATTTATATCAATTTCTCAATTTCATTCAATCTAAAGCACATTCCTCTCCTCATACCATACAAATTTAGCGATTTTTCCTTACAAACTGGTACCGTATAATCCCTATTAACCGCCCCGGGCGCTTAGAAAATTGCAAAAAGGGGGCAGTTATTTTGGTATTCTCTTTATGATATTTAATGTCATATTTTAACTTCAAGAAATCTTTTGAAAATAAAAATAAGGAACCACTAAAATAATGCCTAACTTTACTTAAAGTGAAGATAATCCACCCAAAATATGCTAAATTATTCATTTTCCACTGAGAAATTGGATAAAAGACAAGTTTCATTTTCACTTTCTTCAATTTTTTGATACGATTCTTGTTGATTTTAATCAATGTACAGGGGGCCCTTACTTCCTGACAATTGAAAAAGACCTTAGGGGGTGCTTATAGGGGCAGGGGCGGTTAATAGGGATTATACAGTATTTTATTTTTAGCGAGAAGTAATTTTAGCGATTTTAATATGCTCACTAAAGAAGCTATTACATATAAAATGAAGTTAATTTTATCGATATTTAATTTTAGTGATCTCAGCACCCTCGCTAATAATGCCAAAGTTAAATCTTCTCAAAAAATTCTGCTTATACAGTATACTGTTTTTCCAGATACTGTGTAATGGTCCAGGTACATGTGTACCGATATGTCTTGCAGGACTGATATTAAAGGTACCAGTAATATTTTCCTTTCTTTTAAAGATTTTTAAATTTTTATCTTAACTTCATGCTGTATGAAATCATTAATTGTTGTGATTTTGTTTTTGTTGTTGTATTTTACAGATAGCTAGGTTGGGTAAACCTCGTATAGTTTATGTGGAAAGTATATGTCGAGTTGAGACTCTTTCTTTGTCGGCCTGGATGCTTTATTACTTGGTGGATGAAATGTTAGTTCAGTGGCCTTCTCTGCAGAACAAATTTCCCAGAACCCGTTATATAGGAAAGCTTGTTTGAAAGGTGATGGGTGACGCTTATTGTCAATTTGAAAGACGAGTGCAATATTTTCTGCAAGTGTTGGCAGAGAAAAATTCCTATAATCTCTGTGCTGAAGTGAAAGAAGCAATGAAAGATGTTTGGTGTGTAAAACTTGTAAATGTAAAACTTTTTTTCCCACTTTAGAGGGTACACAGTGCATTGTGAATGGTATTCATCTATCACTCATGCTTATTTTTGGTGCTACATTTCTTCAAACATTTCATTCAAAGAGTAAACATGAAATTAACAATGTATTTCATTTTATTTCAATGAATATAAAAATCTGATTAAAAATGTGTACACTGTATCCATAAAGTCTTTGTTGTATATATATAGCCAGATTTTGAATTTCTTTCCATTTTGTGATTTTTTTCATCTTGGAACAAATGAAGAGGCAACTGATTTGCCATAAAAGTTGCTTCTGAGTACTGTATACGGGTTATTTTTGCCTCAGTTGTGAAAAAGAGGGCTCATTGCAATTTGCCAGGTACTGTATGCATGATGCAAAAAAAAAAAAAAGTTTCATTCTAGATGTACAAAAAAAAAAATTTCCTACTTGCTTAGCTTTACTCTAGCACAGGATATCAGGGCCCAGGGGGCAGTTTTTTCAGGATTTTTCAGTTTGAGAAGTAGGTTGAATGCTTTGTGTAATTGTAAGAGATTTGTTAACTAAATGCACTTCTATTATAATGAGGTATAATAGAACCGAGCTTTGAGACCAACATTTCCCACCTTAAGACTGAGAAAATGTAAAAGGAAAGGAGATGTACGGCTGGACCAGAAATCGAACCTGTGACCCCTTTATCACCAGTCAGGTGTTCTACCGACTGAGCTACCCAGGTTGATATCCATGGCTCAACCCATTACAATAGCAATGAGTCAATGACCCAACGAAGAGTAAAACATAATTCTTTTTAAATTGCAATTCTATTTTATTTACTTAAAAAGAAAAAATAAATAAATTGCTGAACATCAAATAAGCAAAAATATCCTCTAACTATATAAACATCATGTGTAATATAAAGCTTAATCGAGTTTTCAAAATGGGTTCTTCACATATACATTTCAAGTACAAAGCAATTAAGAAGGTCTATATGTACATTTCTGTTTTTATACTTAATCCTTGAAGAGGTAGATATTTAGGGATTTCAGAAAATAAAATAAGGATTTCAGAAAAAGTAGGGATTTCAGACGGTATTTAAATAAGTTATAAGAAATTCTTTTACTCTATAATAAGATGAGAATTAAATACATGTATACAAGATTACGTATTACATGTTTAGTCAAGCTACACTACACAAAGGAAATTTTAATAAAAATAGTTAACATAAAGGTAATTTACTTAGAGAAGTTGACATTCATCAGGAGATAATGATCGACAGCTTTAAATGGCACATTGTTGAAAATTATGGAATGTGTGAAAAATGAGATCAAGAAAAATGCACTGCACATCAGCATTGCACATATTTCACCTCTTAGTCCAAAAAATATTTCTCTCAAAACATTCCTTTACAGTGTCCCAGCTTGGTGTGCCAATCTCCCACGTAACAGAGAGACCAGGTCAAGAGGGGAATAAAGGTCAAGGTCACTGTTATCAGCAGCAGAGCATTCATCATTTGTTTGTTACTGGCATGAACTGGTCTGAAATCAGATGAAAAGGCATTAAAAATCCATTATTTCTTTCTTTTAAGGATCATTATTCTTTCATATGAGATTGACTATGAATACATGAAAACAAAAGCTATTGGTGACATTACATGCATGAAGAGAAATGTAATTTGAAAATGCAGTGACCTTGATGTTCATTTTAATACTTTCATATTAAAAAAAATTCAGGTTTGTTCATGTTCTTTCATGTTCATCATTAATAAGTACAAATGTATATGTATATCATCATTATGACATAAAATAATATGTGTAAGCATGAAGTTTTTTTTAGCATAAGATACATGTAATATGTGTAAGCGTGACATCATGTGAACATTAAGTTTTATTTCATTAGAATTATTGACAACCTTCCTATAGTAGTGAATCTGGCAATAGATGTCCATGCAATTATGATCAGCAATCCACCAGTTTCTCTGAAAAATTAATATATTTTACTTTTAATTATCAATTAAAACATCATCAATTAATTAGAATAAAACAAAATCTTAATGTAGTTTCAATCAAACTAAAATTTACTAACATTGTTATAAAAAAAATTAAACAAAATCTCTTAGAAATTTACATTAAATATACAGTGAAACACGCTTTATAGCCAACACACTTATAATGAATTCATGCTTTTAGCAGATATTTATTCACAATGGACTTTTAACATGTTGTGAAGCTAATGGATATAACAAATTTCATTAATAAGAAAGCCAAATTGTCCATCCCTGGCACCTCATTATAAGCCTGTTTTGCTGTAGTAGGTCAGGTTCGGTTTGATTGCATTTTAATGACTTTCAGTTCTCCCTTACCTGCCCTCCTCATGCTCCAGAGGGTTGTGCCTTTCCCCTTTGATGGCCTCAAACAACAGTACAACCTGATACACAGCATAAGCCACACACAAAGTGAAGTGAATTGTCACCACTGTGTTCCAAACCTTACTAACTGAATTTTAAAAAAAGTCATCTGTGAAACACTGTTGCCATGTATGGCAGCTAGCTCATGACAAAGGTTTATGTCTGCCAAAAGTAGATTAAATGGTTATATGGTCAAAACTGTTGCTTTTCAAAGAAAGGTCTTGTTCACCAATGAAATATGAAACCTCTTGGCCAGCTAGCATCAACAGTTCAGAAATCATGGCTTTAGTTTTAAAGCTTTTCAAGGGTATAAATGCCAAGGCCATGAGTAAAAAATGTTGATACCCAAAGAATTAATGTACTAATACTTGCGAAATATGCAAGCCTTAAGACCAAATGTACAAAAATTATAGGCAGGGGTAAAGGTTGGATAAAGTTTCTTTGAAAGTAGGTAAAATTTTCCGGTCAAGGTCATGAGATTGACAATGTTGGTACAAGAAATTCAAAAGTCCTAACACTAACTGAATCTTTGATTATGAGGAATAAAAAAGAACACATATAAAAAAAAAATCATGAACAAAATACATTGTACTAATTTGCATAGAAAAGTGTTATATCCCCACTCCCTCTCTCATCTGTTTGGTTTTACATACCTGACCACTGTGGTTTAATTACTAATGGCAAACACAACAGGGCAGAAACTCCATAAATTGGCTGAAAAATAAAAAAAATACTGGCAATCATAAATCTACAAAGCCTAGCTGAAAACTAGTTCTTACATCTCTTCAATAAATGTGTATACAGCAATTTAGAATATTAAGTTATGTTTTTGTGTCATGCGTTCCATTATTTCAGGTGATTTACTTCATTTCATTTCACACATTATTCACAGTTATAACAATCAAAATTTGTACTCACCACCCACAGGTACCAGTCATTATCATTCAGCTAAAAAAAGTATAATATTTAAATTAATATGTATTGGTGGAAATTCAATTTTACTAAATGGTTGTCCAATTATCATAAGTTTGAATAACGTGCACCACAATCATGTTAAATTTTCCATTGATTTATCCAATCCAATTATCTTTTATCTCTCCCTCCCCCTCTCTATTACTCTTTCTCCTCCTCCCCCCTCTCTCTGCTCTCTTTCTTGCTCTCTCTTTAAAAGCAAGCAAACTTCTTACATTTACAAGAGCTGCTAAAGTGAAGAACACCCCCAGCACTAGATTAATGATCCTCCACACTTTCCATCCTCCACTTGACTTCTGGACAGATTCCTGAGGTCCCATTTCTGCAGAAATTGTTAATACAATATATCAATTAAAGATTTTAATATATATATATATATATATATATATATATATATATATATATATATATATATATATATTGTGAAATATTATTTTAACAGTTTTTAAACTATACAGAAATTATATATCCATAACAAAAAAATTCAACAGTCTGCTCAAAGATGCTTGGATCTAATTTAATTAAATGAAGTCTTCATTCAAAGAAGATATACAAAAATGTTGTTACACCACCCTCACCTTGTTTGATAGAAGTTAATTTACAATTGTATATTCAGGTTCTTTTTACAGCCTGCCATCATAGGTGCACATGCATGGGGAATTTAACATATTTTCCTACCTATAGCTGTTTGTTAATACCCTTCCCATCTGCACTGAACACAAAAAGGTTATTTATTCCAATAAGAAATCAGCGAAAAAATTAAAAGCAACAGAGAGCTTTGGAACCACAACAGAATGCCCCTGCTGAAAGCTTAATTATCAAATAAAGTATACCTGTAAAAAAAACTATATTTACCTAACTGCATGGTGTTTATGAAAAGTATGGTGTTATCGAAAATACTACATGATTATGGCTTATCATACAATGCAAAACCTTATCACTGTGATACTGATAATATTACCGACTCATGGAAACAGCTGTTAGCATCTAATATTTATCAACATTGTACTTTCACTTTGTCGTCAAAATTGAAAGTTGAATGCATGTTCATATACAATCATAACTTTCCACAGGTCCACTCCTTTATATACGTTGCATCAATGATTTTTAACCAAAAAAAAATCTTCTTAGATTTTTTCTGTCTTTATTATAAATTTGTAATTTTACTGACTATAGCATATGTGCGGATCAAATATTTCATGGCGCGGGAGTGATTTCAAGTGAAATGTCAAACGCCCCCAAAAAGGTTTGGCCTGCATATTGATACTGGTTAATGGGCCTATGAGTTTAAAAATTATATAAAAAAAAAAATATGCTAATAAACTCGTATTAAATCTCAGTCCACCTTCCTGGGGATCTAAGTTTTTTTTCTCGTCAGTTTTCCGCTTGTCTGGCATGATTCCATTTTTTCTCACCTTAGACTTTTGTCCTCGAGTTGGATTGCATTCATTGTGATTCCTTTTTACCAATATGTCTCGCGTTTTTACAATCAAAATTAGTTCATTCACTGCCAAGCACGGATCTGGACTTTTTTTCTCTAAGGGGTAGGTGGGGGTTGAAGAATTGTTATAAAGAAAGTTTACATATAACTTCATAGAATACAGTGGTGTTTTGTCATTTTTAAGCATGAAAGGGGGTTCAGCCTGGGGAAAAAATATGAAAATTGAAAGTTTTATATATAGATGTAAAATCATCCTATTTCGTAAAAAAAAAAAAGGGGGGGTCCATTTTATTTTTAAACCGAATTCCTTCATAAATTACGGCATTGTCCTTTAACTGAACATTTTCTTTGATCTTTCACTAAACATTTTCTATTTAGTAAAAACTACAACAAAAAATTTGGGACTTTTTTCTCTTACCTGTTAGCAAATCCATTCATAATCAGTAATCACAGGCACCCGACGTTACTTATTTTTCTTTTAATAAAAAAAATCTCCATACCTATTAGGTATGGGTATTTTTTTTTTATTAAAAGAAAAATAAGTAACGTCAGGTGCTTGAAAGTGGGGGGCCAGCCAGCAAAAAAAAAAAATACTTACCTGAAAAAGTTGACAAGCAAAAAATAAAAGGAACAATTGTCCCAAGTCGAAAATCCTATTTCCGGGGGAGGGGGGGGGGTGTTAGAGGCCAACTTTTTTCAATGTCTTCTTTCTTTAACCTACAATACTACATTTCCCTTTATCACAAAAAGCTGGGGGGGGGGGAGGGGGGGGCAACCAGCCCTTCAATGAACATTTCCTATAGTATAAGTAATGTTGTTGGGGAAAAAAGAGGGTAGCCCCCCCCCTTCCTCCTGTTGCTACGTGTCTGATAGTTCATGCTCCATTAGCCTCAATCTAATTAAAGTTAGATGTTAGATCCGCTCGCATAGTGTAGCGAGTATGCGAGCGGATCTAACATCTAATTTTAATTTGATTTCATTAGCCTGTGAATGAATAACGTTTTTTTCTTAGATTGACTACTTACAATTTGGAAAAAGTTACAGTTATCATTTCATATTAGAATAAAATATTGAGACGGCATTTTTAAAACAAAGTTCACAGATTTTCCCATATAGTTATACTGAGCAAACCTACGAAAGCCCATTGAGCTGATTTTCGTAGATTTAAAAAAAAAAATAATTTTTAGTGTTATAACGCGAAATTTCGCGAATAAACGCGTAACTTTCACGTTATAACGCAAAACTTTCGCGAATAAACGCGTAACTTTCGCGAATAAACACGAAAGTTTCGCGATATAACGCGACTTTTTCGCGAATAAACGCGTAACTTTCTTTTGATTTAGTGATCAAGTTTATTTAACTTTTAACTTTTTTTTGCTATTGAATCCATTTTACCGTCATATTTTGTCTTTCTCAAAAGTTAAACTTCAAGATTATGAATTTCTAGAAAGATCACCCTTTTCGGTGTCTTTTTATACACATATAAAATTATTTAATAAAGATCAAGATCTCAGATAATTGACAACATGAGATAAATGTGTCTTTTGTGTCCCACTACATTTGTGTAAATTGGATAGCAGATTTTCATTTGTCTCTGTTGGATTCACTGTAGAAATACGATATCGTATTTTGAGATTGCGCCACGTGGTCATTCCATTGCTTACGAAAATATTGACAATTTTAAAATTCAAAATGTACAAACTCTTCTGCAAACCTTAACAGTTTTGATTTATGGCGCTAGTCCACGAACTTCTCTATAACCCGTCAAATATATAAATATTGGAGAAAAATTAAGAACAGTAAATCTTTACTCCTCGATAAATTTGTAATTAACAATATCCATTTATATTTATGCCAGGGCATCAACAATAAAAAGCATGGGATAATTTGCATAACGGGCGAAGCCCGTTATGCTCAAATTATCCCATGTTTCCCACATTGTTGATGTCACTTACTCTCAAAACTTTCTACAGTATGATTTATTTCCATTTCATTGTGAAATAAAATTGTAGACTAGATATTAAGAATGTAGACTAATCGATTTAAATTACACGAGGACTTCCATGCCAATTTCAATTGTCCTTGACAACCGACGTCAAACACAAAGGCAGCCGCACGAGATTTACATGCATATTTGGCCTCCTTAGCGTCAGACACAGAGACAGATGCGCATGAGATTTGCATGCGTATTAGGCCTCCTTAGCTGCTGACCTATCGACCTGCCTAATTTACATTCCGGCAGAATTATCAGGAAATCAACTCTGCTTACTTTCAAAGGGTTATTATAGAGAAAAAAAATAGAAATGGAAACATTTTGTAATTAACAATATCCATTTATATTTACCAGTATATATTTCCATTTCTAAATTTCTAAATGGAGAAACCCCACTTGCATTGAGTCTGGGGTCATGTTACGAAAATAGAACCTGCTCAGCTCTGCAAAGCGACTTGTGTCCTCTTCCAAGAAAGTCTATAAAGCTTTTAGATTGATCAGGTACAGATACTCTATTAATTATTCGAAGATTTGACTGGGATTCTTCGATAAAAGTTGGGTTTATCAGAGTCCTAGGTCGATCGAGAAAATGGTTTGCTAGAGTGCGACTGAGATTCCTAGCTACTTCTACAAAATTGACCCGAAGGCAGATGAACATCATTTCCGCTGTCAGATTCCTATTTAAACTAAAAATCAAGATAATTTTTAGAAGCAATCTTTGTAAAATTTTAAAAAAATGTTTAAATGAATAAAAATTTTAAATTGTAAACTTTTTTTGAAATATTTCTAAATTATACACTGTAACGTGCTTTTACCCCCAAAAGGACAGAAGGAATTCTTAGAATTTTCATTCAGTACTCTTTTGAAAATTTTAATATAACATTTTTTATCATATACAATTATGATTTTTCCCTTAATAAAATTGACTATTATCCTTTATTTAGGTTTAAAGATATACATGTATTACGGGTATTTATGTTAGAACTGAATTGCGAAAAGGTATTCACTAAAAGAAAAACCAAGTGAATTTAACTAGTGAACATCGTAAATCCTTTTTCGTGAAATGAAAGCTTTCAGAAATGGAAATATTTTGTAATTAACAATATCCATTTATATTTACCAGTATATATTTCCATTTCTAAATTTTTTCTCTATAATAACCCTTTGAAAGTAAGCAGAGTTGATTTCCTGATAATTCTGCCGGAATGTAAATTAGGCAGGTCGATAGGTCAGCAGCTAAGGAGGCCTAATACGCATGCAAATCTCATGCGCATCTGTCTCTGTGTCTGACGCTAAGGAGGCCAAATATGCATGTAAATCTCGTGCGGCTGCCTTTGTGTTTGACGTCAGTCTGCGAGGACAATTGAAATTGGCATGGAAGTCCTCGTGTAATTTAAATCGATTAGTCTACATTCTTAATATCTAAGTCTACAATTTTATAAGCAACTTTCACTAGGCCGGTATCGAAGTATCAATACGACCCTAGCTCCACAACTCACTTTCTTAACTGAAAGCTTTCATTTCACGAAAAAGGATTTACGATGTTCACTAGTTAAATTCACTTGGTTTTTCTTTTAGTGAATACCTTTTCGCAATTCAGTTCTAACATAAATACCCGTAATACATGTATATCTTTAAACCTAAATAAAGGATAATAGTCAATTTTATTAAGGGAAAAATCATAATTGTATATGATAAAAAATGTTATATTAAAATTTTCAAAAGAGTACTGAATGAAAATTCTAAGAATTCACTTCTGTCCTTTTGGGGGTAAAAGCACGTTACAGTGTATAATTTAGAAATATTTCAAAAAAAGTTTACAATTTAAAATTTTTATTCATTTAAACATTTTTTTAAAATTTTACAAAGATTGCTTCTAAAAATTATCTTGATTTTTAGTTTAAATAGGAATCTGACAGCGGAAATGATGTTCATCTGCCTTCGGGTCAATTTTGTAGAAGTAGCTAGGAATCTCAGTCGCACTCTAGCAAACTATTTTCTCGATCGACCTAGGACTCGGTTAAACCCAACTTTTATCGAAGAATCCCAGTGAAATCTTCGAATAATTAATAGAGTATCTGTACCTGATCAATCTAAAAGCTTTATAGACTTTCTTGGAAGAGGACACAAGTCGCTTTGCAGAGCTGAGCAGGTTCTATTTTCGTAACATGACCCCAGACTCAATGCAAGTGGGGTTTCTCCATTGCAAAGACTCCATGCGATACCCCTCGGCATGTCCAAACGCACAGGTCCATTAGATTTTATTTAAAGATCTTATTCTACATTTCTATTTCGTCTAGCTAAAAAATTCTTAAATATCGGAGTTAGCATCGTACTCTACGTCTTAGAAGATCCTGAAAAGGCATTGGCGTCGGAAGCAAATTCAAAGTGGGGGGGCTAGGTGTAAGAAAAATTTTTTTTATAAAAAAAAAAAAAAAAAAAAAAAAAAGGAAAATATCAATTTCCAAAACACGAAAATCCTACTTCGTGGGGGGGGGGGGGGGGGGGGGGGGGGGGGGGGAATTCGAACTTCAATACCTAATATTTTTTCTATACACTACCTTTTTCCCATTTTTTTTGCCTATACTGCCATGTGTCTGTGGAAAGTGGGGGGGGGGGGCTAAACCTACGAAGCAATGTTCAATGTCTAATTTTTGGAGAAAAAGTGGGGGGGGGGGGCTAAAAAAATAAAAAGTATATATTTGGAAAAAAAGTGGGGGGGGGGGGCTAAACATACAATATGTATAGGTTCCGACGCCTATGAAAGGGATACAATAACGCAAAAGTAACGCCTTTATTCGCGAAAGTTTCGCGAATAAAGTTAAGCCTTTTTTCGCAAAAGTTTCGCGTTATAATGCGAAAGTTACGCGTTATATCGCGAAAGTTTCGTGTTATAACGCGAAAGGTACGCCTTTATTCGCGAAGATTTCGCGTTATAATGCGAAAATTTTATTTTTTAAACTAGGAAAATGAGCTCAATGGGCTTTCGTACAAAACTTATAAATGTGATGTTTTGGTAAATTTTAATTAATTACATACACTCTCTTGCTCTCTCTCTCTCTCTCTCTCTGAAAGAATACCATCAGGAGCCACACCAACACTCCAGAGTCTTATATAGAAGTGTTTTCGTTTGGATTCTTTTTCTATCTCCTATCCCCTTCTTACTTTAACATCATTAACCACCCCCATATCCTTTACCTGCTTATGCCATTTCCTATCCTAACAGCCTTTTTTACTACTTTTTTCTCAACTAATTATGAGGTATTGATTATGCTTTCTTGAATTTCTAAGATTTGTTTTGAATTCCTAATAATCTTCTGTCAGTTGTTTATTTTCAGGAACTCTGTCAAGGGAGGACACAGAAGGACCGAGGAAGGACACAGGAGGACCAAGGCAGTCCAACAGAAGGAAAGGATGTCATTGCCCATCTATGTACAGGAGCCAACGTTAACCAATGGGGTAAGTAACAAACTGCTTTTTATGACTCTTTTTGATTTCCTTTGTTAGTTAGAGAATTAACAGGAGCAGCATCCCAAAGCTCACCCACAGGAGTCTGTCTCCCATTCAACTGCAACCAACAACCGAATACAAGGTAAGGATCAATCGTGACCATTTCCTACTTTTTGGTACTATTTAATGTTAACTGCATTAGGCTTTGACCTTTTGACCCTCAATTGACAGATTTAATGCAGAGAATGCCATCCCCATCCCACAGAACACCATCCAGAACCACATCAAAAGTCCAGGATTCCGACCCCATCGTATGGAACATCATCAGGAGTAATATCAACAACCCAGAGTCTTATATGGAAGTATTTTTTGATTGGATTCATATTTGTCTATAACCTACTAACTGAAGGATCAGTGACCTTGTTTCAAGGATTAGTGGCCTTTTTTTGAAGGATCAGTGACCTTGTTTGAAGGATCAGTGACCTTGTTTGAAGGATTAGTGGCCTTTTATTGAAGGATCAGTGACCTTGTTTGAAGGATCAGTGACCTTGCATGAAGGGCGGTTGAAGAAATCATGGTAAGAGAAGACCTTCAATTACACAATCATGGTCATGTAGGAAAATTCCCATTTGTTGAAAAACATACAATATGCATAGAGTGGGCCTCTTTTAGGAGGCTGTCCTTTTTCAAAGAGAAAAAGAAACACTAGCATGTTGCTCAGAACTAATTTATTGCAAAGAAACGGTTATGTATCAAAAACATTTTACAAAGTTTTCAACTTGGCTTTTATTCTATTAAAAAACAAAAACACTCAGAAACAAAAGTACTACATTTATATGCCACTAAAACAAATGTAAATACAAAAAAAATCTCATAAAAAGTATTAACTTCACTGTTAATTCTAGACCTGATGGCAGCATTAGGATAAAATAAAAAATGGACATAAATGTAAATGTTAACTGTCTTGTGTAGCAGAAACTTTTCCTGGGAAGAGAACTGACTTGACTAGGATCAATGCTCAGTCAGTGTGTCAAATTTATTTATTTTTTTGGAAGAATTTTTGGCTGTCCTTGACATTGGGCTTTATTGTATCAGCCCCAGGCTTCCAACCAGCAGGGCACACTGAAAATCATAAAAATAGCATTTACAGTGTCTATAAGCTTAGCATTTCACACAAAGCTTAAGTCAAGTTTTCACAGTTCAAGGATCAGTTAAATTTTGGTATCTCAAACACTGATAAATGTATCTCCATTCCTCAGATCTATCATTTGTCTGTTAATTTTATCTTATTATTTTTTTGTATTCAACTTACTCAGAGTTAAAGACAAAGAAGTAAATATTGATAAACTTTATTTACATGCATGGTTCAAAATTTAAGGTATGTCGATATTCTGATAAGAGAGGTAACTCTTAATGACAGAAATGTCTTTGTCAAGTTGAAGTGTCTTTTTGGTCAAATTTTGTGCTGCAAGCACTGCTATAATTGTTTGAATTTTACTTAGCATTTATATTTCCTTTGGAAAATTATAAAAGTTAAGAAACATTTTACTTGAGTGAGCAGAGGGTTTATGAACCTTAATATGCATATTTTACTTTGGAATTTTCATTTTTCAAATGCTTTTCACAGAACTTACACAGTTTCATAAAATGAACATTAAGTTTTCTCATCAATAGATATTTTGAGCCTGTATACCTTCTCCATGTTTATCAGTGAACTGGAAGGCTTGTACGAGTCTCAATGTCTCATCAACAGACCTTCCAACAGGTAAATCATTCATCGTGTACTGACGTAAATTTCCTTTACCATCAATAATAAATAACCCCCTGAAAAAAATGTCAGTTAATTTATTTCAAAGTTAATGAATTTAACTCCTTATTACATTTGCAAGTGCTAATACTCTAGAACTGGTTCTAGTTCTCCAGTTGTTTTATGAATTATTTCATTCTTGTCTAATAAAATGTTAAGAACACTGTAAAATATTTCAAATTGTGTCATTATAATCCATCATAAAGGGCATCTCAAGCCCGGTAGAAGCAAGTAATCCTTGCAAGTTTGGTTACATTTTAGTTAGCCTTCAGAAAAATCCTACAATTATACAGGTGTTGCAATGTTAGCAGACCTAAATGCAATTCCATCATCTTCCTTGAGCACACCATAAGCTTTACTAATCTCCATATTTTTGTCAGCTAGTAATGGAATCTTCATCTCTCCTAATCCACCCTGCTTCCTTGGAGTATTGATCCTACAAAATAATAATTAATGAATTCTTAACAAATTCAAAACTTTAATAAATTGTATGCAACAAATAGAGTACAACTAATAACACTGGTACTGTTTACACACAGTTGAGGTGAGCTGCACACTTATATACCGGTACAAGCTTTAAAATATATACATTTATGCAACATTAAATGCAACTAATAAACTGTTAACTTATTTTAGATTATGAAGTATCAACATATTAATAAATAATTCATCTGAATTTGTCCAACTTGCAATAAAAGTTGTAAAAATTTATATTTGAGAGTTCATTATCAACTAGTTTTATAACTGATCCTATCCAATTTTTTGTGCTAATTTCCTGGTTTTAGACAATATTTCATCTCAAATAGAACACAGCAGATAGTGAGTATATGATTTATATAAAAGAATAGTAGCAATAACAGCTAGGGGAAAATCATACTAGTACACAGCAATAACACTATAGATATAAAAGACTCTCAGTTACACTTGAATAAAGCATTAAATAAAGAGAAAGTGATGATACACATATTTAAAAATGATACTAGTACCTAATTTTTCTTATAATTCTGCATTGTCAAAAATAGATAATATATCTACAATAAGATAATATATTTACATTGAGTATTTAGTTATAGTTCAATTACAATAATGAATTTAATTTTCTTGACACTTGACACAGCTTTACATGTACATGTTCAGTTGTACAAGACCCCAGCATTATTAATCTTGTACCCTGGCCTTAAAACAAGTGTGAGGCAAAGGGGGTCATTAGTATGGGAATACATGGCAATTTTAAGAACCCACATGACTAATTACCCAGAACTATTTTCCAAAGTCTGGCAGAAATGAACTCACCATGCTAAGTGGGAGAATACACTATCTGTAGAGCAGGCGACTACTTCACAGTTGATGGATCGGAATTCTTCTACCCTATCGCTGAAGGCAATGATTTCTGTAGGGCATACAAATGTGCTAAAAAAATACAAGCTCAATTTATTAATTTCTTCGTAAATCATTCATTGTCAGGTTTATAATCATTACATATTATATTATGATACAATTACATGCAATAGAAAAAATTGTATATTAAAAAGCTCCTGACAAAGAAAGCAAATGCAAAAAAAATGGCAAGTTCAATGTGTTTTGCAGATCCCTAAATAGTTTTCATCCAGCACACTCTCAATGATAAAGAAACTGAAGAACATAATGTGATAAGCTGAAGAATATACTCTTAATCATTTGTTCTTAGGGACAGAATCAATACTCCATCAATACTACTAATTAAGATAATGAAAAAAGTAATGAGAAATTGTCATTCTTAAGTGTTAATTACAGTATATATATTAAACACCTTATGAACAACTTACAAATCTAGAGGGTAGAAGAATAATACTAGGTATTTTCCCTTGTAGTTTGACAGCGCTATATCCTGAAATTCTCCATCCACTACTGCCTGACCTTTGAACTCTGGTGCTGGCTTTGTCAATTTCAGTTCTGCCATGTTATTGCTTGGAATCTGTTAAAAGGAAAACCTGCTAATTAACATTTGATGTATTGATTGCTCCAGAAAACTTAAACAAATCAATAGCTAAACTGGGAAGTGACTCCGGTAATACTGTGTATACACTGAAACACCTGTTTAATGTCTTATAAACTCAGTCTCGAATAAGGCTTTGCCTCTGGCTCTTAGTTATAGATCCATGTTAAACAAAACCCTTACTAAAATATACTTCAATCTATCAGTTCTTAATTTTGTAACTAATCTAAACAATTCTGAAAATTACTCAATAACTGAGAACATACATTCCTATTTTCTCCAACTCCTCGAAAGATTCTAGAACCAACAGAAGAAGGCATCACTGATAAAACTGTGGCAAATTAAAAAAAACATTTACACTAATGTAGGCACTCTCCACAAAATAGTCATAATTCAACAAGATCACTTCAACCATAAATGATTCACTTTAATTAAATATCATCCAGCTTCACATAAACACCTAGGGGTATTTTGACTTTACCTGTTTGGTGTCTACCTGGTGTACAGCTTGTTCTTGTCTCTGTCTGAAAGCTCGGTACATCTTACATAAATGTCAATGTAAAGTCTCTAATGGTGACACATTGAGTTTCCATGGCATTAAGAAGCTTCATCCTTGTTTATTGCAATTTATACCCAGATGCAAATGAGAACGGCATTGTTTAATGAGATTGGAAAATAATCGTTACTGAATCTGCATGCTGAACCTTGTTTTGAACATATTTTATTGACAATATGTCAAAGGGATCGGACACAAGTTCTAGAAACTTAGATAGTCCTCTCCCATACATAATATCTCAATAGCCATACAACATTAACAAAATTTTACAATAATATATCCATTTACATAGAAGAACAAAGACAATTGTTTTATGAATAAGGAAATAATATCAATTATTAATAATGGTGATAATAAATACAGTGTTGATATTATAAAAATATAATAATTTCAATAGAGATAACACAATTCATTGTTAATTAAAACGACCTGATTCCTGAATAAATTTTTGAACAATACCGATTTTCCTGCGACCTTAGTAATTTATGCACATTAATCATTTTTAAATTATTAGTTACTAGTAGTGCATTCATCATTAAGCGTCTAGGTTCAAAATATTTTCTACAAACAAAGAAAAAATTATTCATCTGTATTCGCTAATTTGCTTTATACACATATACCAAGTAGCCTTCACATTTTCAATTTAAGTCATTTCATGAATCAAATGAAATTTCAAACAAAGTCTTAAAAGAGACTGCAGCTCTACTGTTTGTACTTGGACTAAATGTAAAGAAGGGCATCTGGACTAGAAATATATTTAACTTTTACAATTTTTTTTTATATCTATAGATTCAATCATTTTTCTTTTTATGAACATAAAACAAAGTTTCAATAAATTAAAATAAAACTATAGCATTTTGAGAGATTTCATAGATTTATTTCCTAAACTCCTTATTGGTTTAATCCATCACTACCCAACTCAATCATTTTTATGAAATTCCAAGCTGTGAATGAACAAATGTTATGATGTCATTTTTTTGCATGCTAAAAATGTACAATCAAAATGCCAAGAAATAATGACAGTCAAGCATTTTGAAAGAATTTCAAAGAACTTTCTATGTGTAATAACCATGGCAACATGTTTTCAATCAATAACCAATATTATCATCTTACCTATTCATGTTCCAAGTCTTATTGAAATCAAATCAAAACTGATGGCATTGTAGTTTTAGAAAAAGTAGTTTACAGACTAACAAACAATTATAAGGAAAGTCAAAAACTGAGTATCTGTGAAGAAATCTTTTATTGACAAAATCCCTTTAATATTTTTCATTCTTTCACATAGACATCACTGCTACTTAAGATTTAAATAAATGAATGACATCACCATTGACCATTACCTTTTTATTTCATTATAAAATAAATATAAGTGTATGTGGATGCCATGGATGTGTGATATACAGTACATGTATTACATCATAATACTAATACATGTAATGATAATGAAGGGTCCTTATCCATTAATAACAGATCAGAGATGAAGAATCTATTCAGAATTATCCCTGCAGTACAATTCTAATACTATATTTAGTATGGAAATTCAAGCAATCTTATTCTCTTTATTTAATTTGCAAATTGATACATTCAATATGTATTTTGAATTGAATAGCTTAGTACTTCATATACACATACTTACAATTGTTTTTACTACACTTTTTTTTTTTAAACTTTATTCTTACCATCATATAATAGCATTTGTATTTTAAAGATAATTAAGACAAGAAAGCTAATTCAAAAAGACTTCTTCACAATAATGTTCTTTTGCAGCTAGGGCAAATTGATAAAATATTGGTGAAATATAATGTAACAACAATTGTCCAATAGATATTGTATACCAGTAATTATCTGTTAAAAAAAAAATTGCCCAATGTTATTCATTTATCAATATCAGTTATGGTGAAAGTGCTATAATTCCAAAACTATGCAGATAATTGGTAAAAGGGATTCCACTTTGAGTAGTATGATCCTCATACTAGTAGAGCAAAATACAAAAGATATATATATACTTCCAAAACCAGTACAGGAAATAAATAGCAGCCAAGTGCAATTTGCACTAATACACTCAGTTTGAATATAAATGTATATATACTGATTAAACTTCCTTCATAGGTATTGGACTAGTTGTGAAACACCTAAATATCAAAATCTACAGAGTGATTCTTATATCATGAATATGACTGATTTTCACAGATTTTAATTCAGTTCATGTAATTTTTTAGCTTCAATATCATGAGTTTAATTCAGATATATTATTTGTTTCATTTCAGCTATATTTGAATTTTTGTATCAGTTTAAAATACTGCATTAATTTTATGATTATTGATCTTAATTCATGTTTAATAATTTCATTTCTCATGTGTATTTAACTTAACATTAATTCAATTATTTTATGGTAAAGGCAAAAAAGTTCCTGGAGCCCCCCCCCCCCCTAAAGCCTTTTCTGCTTTGGGCAGCTTACTCTGCTTACTCTAATACACATAAGCAGTTCACAGCCCTGGATTAAACTTGGACTGCAGTGGTGAGAAGTTGAGAACTAAGCAAGTGCACTGTGAGTACCACTGTGCTACCCAGACATCTTATATCAAGATTTCAAAAAAAAAAAAAAATCAAAAGTTCCCAATTTTACCAGATTTATTAAAATTTAGGTCATGCTGAATTCTGATGTTTTATTTGAAGTGGGAGAGAGTGATCACTTGATTTTTAACCACCTGTTTGACCCCTACAGGAACAAAAAGTCAATATTAAAGTAGGTGCTTTGTAAGATGACAAACTTACTATGTATATACTCAGTTGTATATAGAGATCTGAAAAAGAAAAACTCTAAGAATTTTGTTTTGAATTTATACAACCTGCTCAAAGTTGTGCATAGTGTACTGTTAAGACATCATTTGATTTAATTGCCTTATGAAATCATGTTTTCCCCAAAATATTGAAATAGGTTTCCTTCAGTATATAAATCTCTATACCGTAAAATTTCATTATATATTTATCCTTTAACTTTTTCTACCATAAAAAACCCCAAATGAAACCAGATTTTTAAGTTAAAGTCTCTGATGAAACATTCCCATTATTTTGATCAGATAGTGTTGTGTAACAGAATTATTGCCCTTGGCTTTGCGTTACTATGCACTGGGTCAAATTTGTCTTCCTACAGCTAAAGACAGTAAATTAACATAAGATTACTTAAGATTTAACTTGCAAAAGAAACAGTTTACCTTTACTTTAGTTCTGTGCCTGAGATTCTTTAGTTAGACGGATAAATAAGTATAGTGCCGCTGATCACGCCGGTAGATGTATGAATGAATAACGAACCCGATCTAAATGAATGCCTACAGCTGTTGCGCTATGGTTTTATAAATAAGTCTTTGAGACTTTGACCATGCAATATCTAGCCCATCCTCACAATGTCAAGGGTTTGTGAGAAATCACAAACCCTTGACATTGTGAGGATGTATCCAGCCAAAAAAAAAAAAAAAAAAAAACTGTTCAATTTTAACCTTATGCTGCAGTTATGCATATTGTTAGAAGGGTTGGGAGCCTAATACGAACAAAGCAATTTTTTGGTTATTCTCTGAAAAATTTAACGTTAAATGTACATACACTTGATGAAATTATATGTCTTGAAAGAGATACTGGGTGAAATCCATAAAGTGAAATGAAGGTGTGTAAATTCAAGCTTCTCAGCACAAGTTTCAATTTGTTTAAACAAATTAATAATTTGTTATAACAAATTAGTAATTTGTTATAAGAAATTAGTAATTTGTTATAAGAAATTAGTAATTTGTTATAACAGATTAATAATTTGTTATAACAGATTAAAAATTTGTTATAACAAATTACTAATTTGATATAACAGATTACTAATTTGTTATAACAAATAACTAATTTCATATAACAGATTATTAATTTGATATAGCAGATTAATAATTTGATATAACAGATTAATAATTTGATATAACAAATTAAAAATTTGTCATAACAAATTAAAAATTTGTCATAACAAATTAGTAATTTGTTATAACAGATTAATAATTTGTTATAACAACTTAATAATTTGTTAAAACAAATTAGTAATTTGATAAAATAAATTACTATTTTTGACAAAATTTGAAATGTATACAGATCTACGAAAGCCAGGTTAAATAAACAAATCTTAGTTTAAGTCGGATTTCTGAAAATAATTTGTAACTGTTAAAATTTTCGGCCAATAAAAAGACTTTAGTGGGACTATTGAGAGCTTTTTAAGCAGGCTCTTTTTTTATTATAAAAATTTCACGCATACAAAAGAATTGATAAAATAAATTACTATTTTTTACCAAGACAAAATTTGAAATTTTTTTTCCTTTCGTTTTCCGAAAGTTGTTACGAAAGCCAGGTTAATTTATCAAAAAATTTTGGTCAATGTTGCTTATGTTTCTCACAGCTTTTTACGGATTTCTGGATGTTCACAAAGTCATTTGTAACTGTTAAAGATTTTATTCCAATAAAAAAGGCTTTAGTGGGACTTATGTTGAGAGCACGTAAAAGAGTTTTGGCTCTTTTTTTTGCTCGTTGAAGGATTTTTTTAAATATTTAAATTTGATTATTTTTGCATACAAAAAATTGAATGATATATTAGGTATTTAATATTAAATTTTATTACCAAGCGCTACCCAAAAGAATTTGATGCAAGAATATTGTGGGGGTTTTTTTCACCATGCCAAGAAAACCTTTTCCGGGGAAGGTTGTTAATCTGTGAATGTAGATTTTTTCCTTAATAATTTATCTGCAAATTCATTTTATTTAGGTCAATGGTGCCTATGTTCAAATACTGTAAAAAAAAAAGTAAGTTAAAGAAAAAGAAGCTTATTAATTATAGTAAACCATGGAATGTTCACAATTTTTTAGGAGCAGTAATTTTTTTTCCAGGATTTTGGGATTTAGTTTAAAGATTTTATTCCTTATACATAAATTGGGTTGAACAGTAGGCATAAATGCCTGTCGAAAAGCAGGATTCAATGTAGATCATGTCACATGTTAAGAATGAATCCAGAGTGAGAGAGAGAGGTTATAAAATGAACAAAAACAAAAGAAAACATGTAACATTTTGTTGCATGCCTTAAATAAGATAATTTTTTCATAGCATACGAAATGGGTGCTATCAAGTTTATTTCTTTAACTAAGAAAGCTGAAAACAGTCCCCCCGTAAAGAGGGGGGGCATCAATTACACTTTTATTGTTCATCGGACAAATTTTCATTAAAGCTTCCAAGAATAAGCTACAGTGTATAAGGAATAGAATCAAGGACTTTGATGCAATTTATCATGGCATTGATGTTTGAAGTGAAAACTCTGAGCTGCTTTTAGAAACATAGATGTGAAAAGCTCTGCAGAGCGTGTGATTATTGTTTCACAAATTCAATGTTTTAATGATTTCTAATCTGATATAGATTCCATAGTTCTGTGTACATGTCAAATGTCCAAAAATAGTAATTTGTTATAAATAATAAATTGATAATTTGTTATAACAAATTATTAATCTGTTATAACAAATTAGTAATTTGTTATAACAAATTACTAATCTGCTATATCAAATTGATAATTTGTTAAAACAAATTATTCATTTGTTCGAAAAAAATATTTTTAGCATATAGGTCACGGTCTATGTCACAATGTCATTGGCCTTGGAGTTATTTGAAAGAACTTAATTAGCGGAGTACGCATACCAAATATGAAGTCTCTGTCTCTTATGGTTCAAAAGTTACGGCGAAAATTCAAAAAGGCTATTTTTAGCATATAGGTCACAGTCAAGGTCACAAAGTCATCGACCTTGGTTCCATTTGAAAAAAACTTAATTAGTGCATGCATACCAAATATATGAAGTCTCTATCTCCTATGATTCAAAAGTTATGGCGAAAGTCCGAAAAAAGCCATTTTTAGCATATAGGTTACAGTCAATGTCACAAGGTCATTGGCCTTGGTGTATTTTGAAAGAGCTTAATTTGTGGAGCAAGCGTACCAAACATGAAGTCTCTATCTCTCATGGTTCAAAAGTTATGGTGAATGTTGAAATTGACAACAGACAGACAGATAAACAGACAAACAGAAAGACATGACAAAAACAATATACGACACCGATCTATCGTTCCGGATGCATAAAAACACACACACTGATCATGCCTCCGTATGGCAGCTCATGGCTTGGGTTGAAGTTTCTCAATTACAAACCAAACTCCAAAGGTCAAGGTCAACATTATTTGTATCCAAAGAAGGGTTTTGTCACTAGGAATATATACCATTGAAATACAAAAGCCGCAGTGCTAACTGATCAAAAGTTTTGACAAAGGCTAAAGATTTTTTAAGTGGGTCAAACTCTAATGTCAAGGTCAAAGGGAAACAATAATAATATGAAATTGAAATGAAATAATGAAAGCCTTGGTTGGTTACTGTCAAGATTAAAGTGTGGAATTTATTATTTTTGGGGGGTAAAAGAGAGTCAAACTCCAAGGTCAAGAATCAAGTTTGTGGTAAGCCTACCGAAAGAAAGGTCTTGTGACAAGGGATATACCTGTGGAATATGAAAGCCATAGCACCAGCCACTCATGCAGAAGTTATGGTCAAGGTTCAAGTTTTTGCGAACAAAAAGACAAACGTACAGCCAGGGCAGAAAGAAGGACGGACAGGGCAAAAACTAAATATCCCCGAATCTTCGATTGTATAATAATAATAAAAAAAAATACATTGAAAAATTGCAGTTCTATTATCATGCTGTAATTTTTGAATTTACTGGGTGGAGGTAAATGCATAAGTTTTCAACATGAAAAACTTTCTTGTCGTGAATTCTGCATGTACGTCCACATTAGTCCCAATAAATTCAAAATTTATAATATGATAAATGTAAATCAACAGAAAAATCGCATCTATAGTATTGTAAATTGTAAATATCAGTGTCACTAGTTCAGTTGAAAGAAGGGTGGAAAATATTGCACCGAGGCTGGTGGAAAATAGCGCACACGAACTATAAATTGCAGAAAATTTGTGAAAATGAAGCTCAATTGATATTCCTGAAGACTAAAAAACATAATACCACATGATTGGTTGAGATAGGAAGAAATATGCCCAAGCCAATTTTTATTTTTGAAAACTCGAAAATACTATTTGTAGGGCTACAATTTCTTTCAGAACAGAATTCTCCTCATAAATTTCCTTGACATTGTAACAAAAAGGGGGCATCCAGCTTTTCAATGTCACTTATCAATGGTAAAAAGTAATATTTGGGGAAACAGGAGGGGACAAGACCCTCTGCATAAACGTCGGAACCGGGGGTGGGGGGCCAGGGCTATTTTTTGCAAAAATAGACATTATTATATAGGCATTGAAAATTGGTATTTACTTTTTTTGTTGGTTAAGCCCCCCCCACCCCCACCCCCCACCACCACCACACACACACATGCACACTTTCGATTAGCCCCCTTTCAATTTGCTTGAATGAATACATTGGTTAATCAAATAAGAGAGACGCACCCTAGTAAATCTGGCGTCAGACAATAATCAACTCCCGACCCTCCCGAATAGACTGGTATTGCCTGTCTTTACCGTACGCAGTATATCGGATATCAGACAGGCAGGCCAGTCTACCCTCCCGAACAGGTGAGCTATTTTCAATTAAGAATATTTTGAGAAAGACCTATCAAAAAAGACTTTTACAATCGGAGCTCCTCGCCTGTCTGCCTTACCTAGAGTATGGAAGTTATCCGAGAACTTTCTGAGCCAATGAAAAACGTTCAATGATGAAGGCGAGTCATCCTTGACCTTTACTAGGGACACATATCTCAAAATGGCGAGGTGGTCTTGCAAATGACCCATATCCACTACATATGAAGTTGGGGAATAACTCGAAGATGAAATAATCCCTCAGCTCAAGGAGTTGGCTTCAACATGAATTAGGTATTTTGTAATTTTAGAAGAAAATGAGTAAAATAAGGTTTTTCCATTCACCATAAGTCGATAACCTGAGGCTGATGCTTTGTTCAGCCAGCATATGTATTTTAGTATATCCTAACCCTGTATAGATAACTAAGCTTTTGATTTGAATAAGTTATTTGCGGATATGAATAATATTTGTCTATGTTAGAAAAAAATGTAAGTGTAATGTTTGATGAGGAAATGTAAACAACGAACATTTTTCATTTATTTACTTTAGAAATCTTTCCTGGAAAACATGAATGGCTTGCTGTTGATTGAAGACGTGGTTAAACATGAGTTTGTCTCGCTTTCATCAACTCCTGTCAAAAGGTCAACACAACCCAAAGGAATCCGAGGAAAATATCCTCTTGAACAATTCACAAGAAGGTGTGAAATGGTCCAGATATTTAGTGAAACTTGAAGTTGAGACCGTGATGCGTAAGCGTCAGTTGTCTTCAAGAGTTTTACTTAAGACCAGTGTTACAACCGTCCTCCTGATATGTTTATTATTCCTGACCTTTTACACCATAGTTCTCATATTCTTCACCCCAAGTGTGCCAATGGACTACAATGAATGGAGGGGACGTCATCGATTGAAATTGATTGCCAAGATAAAATCTGGTAATGGAAGCCAGAGACAAAATGACCAAATTTCCAAGTCAGCGATGTGGAATGTGTCCAACTCGGTTAATATACATTTACCAAAACCTAGATGTGAGAGCAAACTTGTGATATTAATTTTTATTTGTTCCTCAGTGCAAAATTTTCAACAGAGAAATGCGATAAGGAACTCTTGGTGTAAAACAAACTCAAACAAGAAATATTCATGGCATTGTGTATTCCTTCTTGGAGAGCCAGAAGAAAGTGGCAATTACTTAGAACTGACACAAAAATTAAAGAAGGAAAAAGAAAAGTATGGGGACATTTTGCAGGGCAGCTATACAGATACCTACAGAAATCTTACATATAAAGTGATGCATGGATTTGCATGGGCAGATGCTCATTGTCATTCGAATTTTGTTTTAAAGACTGATGATGATTGCTTTGTGAATACTCAGTTACTGTATGATTTAGTTTTACACCATCAGGATGTAAGCAGTCTCTATATAGGAAAAGTGACAAATGACCTAGAGAAGAGAAAGGTGATTCGTAATGTTGAAAATAGGTGGCATGTTTCCGAGTCTGATTACAAAGGAGATTACTATCCACCTTATGCAAGTGGAGCTGGGTATCTAATGTCTTGGGACACTGTTAAAAAACTTGTATCTGTCAGTCCATATATCAAACCTATTCCTGTTGAGGATGCCTATGTGGGGATCCTAGCAGAGGCTAAAAATATCATTCCTTCTAACTCGGGGAGATTTGTTTTGATGAGCGATGGCTGGACTCTATGTAATTATGCCTATTTAGTGGTCATTCATGGGGTGAAGTATAAAGAGCAGGAGGGGCTGACCCAGAAATCTGTGCAGGCCACAGAGAAGTGTTTGGAGGGGCGGTCTCAGGGAGAAATGTACACCTGGAATTAGTTTAGCATGCACACTCTCTAAGAGACGGCATAGCATGTTTGTTACCAATGTGTTCAGCTACATGTATATCATTTAAGATCTGAATTTCCCTTCATATGAAAATTTCTATTCTGGCATTATATCTACCAATCACAATTTATTTATTGTTTGAGAAATTCATGTACCTAGAAAAGAAAGTGCAAATTTAATTTTTTTTTATATAAATACTACTTCCAAATACTTGTAGTATAATCTTGCTTTCATTTTGACAGTACATATACATACATGAAATGATGTATTAAAATTCATGTTTAAACTAAAAAACGTACTACATACCTATTACCTAGATGCTTAAAATAGCAAGAGTTTTAAAAAACTTTAATGCTAATCATTTCTTCGCACAAAAACTTGCTTTCACAACAAAAAATGCTTTTAAACTTTTTTGTCCTGTGTTTTGATGTTAGAATGAGTGAATATACCACGTCAATTATGGTAACATATCAAAGTGTCTTTAATGTAAATGACTGCTCAGTTTCTGAAATTTTATTATGTAAACGTTTCTAGTCACACAGCAGGATGAGTAGGTCAAGGTTAAAATTTGTTATGAAACCTTGTGGGAGTGCTCAAAATATATACAGCGTGCACTGTAGAGAAGCATGAAATATACATGTGAAAGGTATGCTGGATGCAATAACTTTCAAAGTGATACATTTGTGCACCTCTATTTTTATCTCATGGTTTGCAGCATGTTAAAGTACTTTTAGTCAACAGATAACCCTAAATAGCTGCTGACAAAAGTTGTACATGTAAAAGAGAACATTTTTTTCGGGCTATTCAACATTCGTCAAAAGGCCTGTAAATATAAGATATTTATAGTTATACACATCAATGTAAAAGGAAAATTTCTCAACATTCCTAATTTTGAATTTTAAAAATACTTTCTGAAATGTTATTTATTTAACAAAATGATTTTTTAAGTGTTTGATACATAGTAATATAGGGCATCTGTCTTCTGTATTTTGTTTATCATTGTCTCATTTTTCACAGTTTTTTTGTCTTTTCTTTAATGTTCATTGTCCATGACTATAAGACAGAGTATAAGTGTTCTTTTTTTTCATATCAGTATGGGTGGTTTGTGTCTATGATATGTATTTAGCAAGGTACAGTGAAAATAATGACCTTTTTAAAACTTTGATCTCACCATCATTGTAAAACTAAATTCAGGCTTTTAGTTTTGCACGTGGCTTTCAACGTGCTGCTTTCAACTGTCTTTGAATTCTTTTGTAAGGTTGGCAAAGTACAACAAATTAAATCATCACTTTTTTAAAGCTGTAAATAAATAAAAAACTTTTTCTCAACACCACAAATCAAAATATTGCAATGATTTATTTTTTATTTTTGATGGTTTAAATCTGATTATTATTAATACAATGCATATCAAGGACACACACGCAAAAATTTTGTTTCAGTTGTTGATCCTGTCAGATTATTTACATTCAGACATTACAATATGCACATTTCTTTTTCTTTATGAGGCAATTTAAAACTTGACCCAGTTTGTTTAAGGACAGATTTGGAAGATTTCCAGTAGACTAATTCTTGCTGTATAAGCTCAAATAAAACATTCTGTATATTAACATCTGACATTCCTATATAATGAGTATATTTGTCATTTGTCCATATTGTCTGAATACCCTTTTCCATAAAATGTCATGAGATTTGATTTGAGGGATAGAGAATCTCAAATGTTTAAATTTATACATACATGTATTTGTCTTGGTTTCAGTAAGATTTGGTAGAAATATCCATGCAACTACATGTATTTTCTGGATTATCCCAATTTTCTATGCATTTTTTTTTTACTTCTTTTTTGACTCCTACTGCAAATACTCATTTATTGTCAAATTCTGCTTTAAAATCTTGAAATAGATAACATATCCTATTCTTAGTAGACTCAAAATTCTCATAATATCTATCCTTTCATTTAAAATGAAATCAAAACTCATAGAAGAGAAGATTGTTATTTATATATCTCGAGATTATCCAGTCACAGGAAAAGTCCTTTACACTTTGATGAATCAGCATCTGATTTCACTGTACAGCGGACATCACACACTTTATCAAGTTGACCTTTAATTAGTCATCTAACATGATACATCTTTACATATTTGAAATTGTCCTGAACCAGTATGATATTATGCATAATGTACCGTATTGTATTTTTAAAGCCAACTGATAGATTATTAGTGCTAAGTATTATAACATTTTTTCCTCCTTCAAAAGATCTGGTTGTAAATTCATTTGTCATCACATGTCAGTGTTAGTCGCATTAGTAATCAGGATTTTTTTTTTGATTGACTTAAGATGTATGTGTACATGTGTGTAGATTTATATGATGTCTTTATAGTTTATAAAAGTTTTTGTTTTCTTGACGTGTTGGTTTCGGTTAAGTTTTGACTAAATCAAATATGAGAAATAAAATTTTGAAAACACACTTTGTTATTGCATTTTTATCTTTTGATTCATAGAAGCCATGAATTTCTCTGAAATGGTTGAGCCAATTTAGATATGTGTCATCTTTGTCAAAATGACATTGAATGGAGAGAGTTGAAAACTCATGATTCAATGCAATCTCTAATTAACTTAGGGTCATCTAGTACATGTAACAGGCAAAATGTTTGCTTGATAATCAAATTGAAAAGTTGGTCCTATTCCAAATGTTTTCGATTCATTTCCACTGCAGTAACCAGACCTCACAAACTGTAATTATTGTTATATTAGGGTGAGACTGAATTATATTTATAAATTAAGGTATACAAACATCTATTCTAGAAAAATTAGATATAACATGATTTTGTGATTTCATCTATAAAAAAAATCATCTTTGAGTCTACACATAATTAAATGCAATTGACTTGAGGCTAGGTATAGGTGTTTCTATGCAAATGAGCTGATAAAAATGCATCAGATATATATCTTTTATACAGAGATTGCTACATTTTATTACATACTTGATATTTTACATACTTAGTACCCACAACATATTACAAGCCAGTGCATATAATGACTTCACTGTGCTTTACCACTCAAGGTTAAAAAAATGCAATAAAAAAGCCTCGATTGGCACAAGGGCATATCCTATTTAATTTTAAATAATTACTGTGTAATATTTAGAAGGATATTATAAAAATTACTTAGTCTGAAAATTGCTGCACAAAATCCCATGCACTTTCTCATTAATTAAAATGTTTCATCTCTTGTTCAATATCATAAATCCTTGGATTAAGCTGCTTCTATGTAGACCTTGAGTCTGTAAAACAAAATAAGATATGTCCTTGCATCAAAGCTTTATTGCTGATGTTCCTTATAATCCTGCATATTGACCAAGATAGCTCTTGGTCTATTGATAGACCTGGCCAGTTTATCCTCTCCCGAAAAAAACTTGAGACCATAAAATTTTAATTTTCTTTGTTCTCAGGCCCTCCCTCATGTCTTCCAAGGGTGCCTCAATTGACCCTTTTTTATTGCTAAATCAATAGAATAAAATCAACAAATCACCTTCCTCATCATTTTTTGAGGTTTTATATGATGTAAAAAGCTGCCTCATCATGTTTTGGGGGCAATAAAAAAGAAAAATAAATGCCTCCGTCTCTCATCATATTTCTTGACAAGAGGCCCATGGTCACCTGAATATTGTGCAACAACTTTCAAACAATTAAATTTGGTTTGTGTTTTAAAACCAGAGGCCATGAAATTCGCAGTTCACAATTTTGAAAGAGGCACCATTGCTTATCATAATTATAGACTTAGCATGCTTACTCTTTTACTTAATAGATTTTCAAAGAATTAATGTATTTTCACTTACTCTATTTACTTAATAGATTTTCAAAGAATTAATGTATTTTCACTATATAATCAATAGAGCCCCGTCCAGAACCCATGACCCTAGGGCCATAAAATTCACAATTTTGGAAGAGGCACTCTTGATCAACATAACTATTTACTTACATAGTTTATTTAATACCCAGAAGCAAAGAAAAAGATTTTCAATGAATTAATGCATTTTCACTATATGATCAATAGAGCCCCGCCCTAGCACCAGAACCCCTGACCCTGGGGTCATAAAATTCATAATTTTGGAAGAGGCACTCTTGCTCATCATAACTATGTGCTTTGTTAGTTTATTTAATACCCAGGAACAGAGAAGTAGATTTTCAAAGAATTAATGCATTTTCACTATATAATCAATAGGGCCCCAACCTAACACCAGAACCCCTGACCCTAGGGCCATGAAATTCACAATTTTGGAAGAGGCACTCTTGCTCTTCATAACTATGTACTTAGTTAGTTTATTTAATACCCATAAGTAGAGAAGATTTTCAAAGAATAAATGCATTTTCACTATATAACCAACAGAGCCCCACCCTAACACTAGAACCCCTGACCCTGGGGTCATAAAATTCACAATTTTGGAAGAGGCACTCTTGCTCATCATAACTATGTGCTTGGTTAGTTTATTTAATACCCAGGAGGAGAGAAGAAGATTTTCAAAGAAATTATGCATTTTCACTATATAATCTATATAGCCCCGCCCTTGCACTAGAACCCCTGACCCTGGGGCCATGAATTTCACAATTTTGGTAGAGGACTCAATGCTCATTACATTCATGCCAACAGTTTGCCTGCTTGATGTCCAGGAGTAAAGAAGAAGATTTTCAAATAAATTATGCATTTTCACTATATAATCTATATAGCCCCGCCATAGCACTAGAACCCCTGACCCTGGGGCCATGAATTTCACAATTTTGGTAGAGGACTCAATGCTCATTACATTCATGCCAACAGTTTGCCTGCTTGATGTCCAGGAGTAAAGAAGAAGATTTTTAAAGATTGCAATAATTTTAGTGGTTTTGGCCCCACCCCTCAGGCCCCAGGGGGGCGGGGACCATAAAATTCATAAATTTTGTTCCCCTTAACCCATAGATGCTGTATACCAAATTTGGTTGAAATTGGTTAGGTGGTTTCAGAGAAGAAGCTGAAAATGTTCAAATGTTATCACACAACGCATGACACATGACGACGGACGAAAACGGATAGCAATAGGTCACCTGAGTTACTCAGGTGACCTAAAAAAAGGTCCGAGAACCAAGGAATTAACTTTGCATGGCCTTACATTCAGGTTATTATTAATCCATAATTATAATTAATTACCTCATGTTAGAAAATGAAGTGAGAATTCGCCAATTTCATGAGGCTTTTAGTTTTTGGGGATAGGATGATGTGGAATCTGACTGTAACTGTACATTGGTCTTTTACTGTAGATTCTATATTACCATAAGTTGTGCAACACCCCTCCCCTTTTCCATTATAACACATGCGAATGTGGAAAGTATCAAATTGTACAGTAAAACACACTTTCAATAATGAAGTGTATGGGATGAGCAATTTTGATTCATTTTTTAAAAAGTTCATTTATATATGTTTCAAAACTTCAGAGATTGAAAGTAATTTCACTGCAAACATGAATTTACTATAAGCATGTTCACTTTGAACATTTTCCCAACAACAATTCAACAAATGGAGATGCAGTCTCAAGAGTAAAAACACGGGAAGGAGGGTGTCATATAAATCATAAATGTAAGGGAGCAAGATTGCAATGGTGAGTGCATGATTTCTGAGGCAAGAATGCAAAATTAGTACGTTTTGCTTTCTAAACATAACATGCCTGATCCATTGCATGTTTAGTCATTCTTTCTTGCATTTTTAATTATTGCCCCCTTTCAAAATTCCTTTGTATCATTCAAAGCTAAATCCATCAGCCCTCTCAGTTCACATTTAAGAAAACGCTCAATAAAAAGTAAAGCCAATAATGACTTTTTACATAAATTTTACTCTGTGAAATTTTTCCCTGGCTACATAAGTCTGTAGAGAAGATCAAAAGTACCAGAACCGCAGGACACAGGTTTACCAGTCACAATCTGAGCAGACGGTGACTTTAAACTGTCATTAGCACCCTGCATACTCGCTTTCACCAAGAAACTCAAGGTAGTCTCAAAACTCATTTGCTGTAAGCATGAAGCACAAGTCTCTAAAGCTCTTCTATTAAAAGCCTTATATGTCCCCTCAAATGTCATGTAATCAGCTAGCAGTGAGAGGTGTCGGTAATCCACTTCAATACCATAAGCTGCAAACACATTCTTAATTTCCTGTAAAAGATAAGATAGATGAAATTTTTAAATGACCCATTCTATGCATATTATTCAATCAAATCTGTGACATCTATTGAATAAAATATGATGATGCTAAAATAACTATGTTTACCATAGTTTTCTCATACTTTCTACTTTAAAGAACAGTTCTACTTCAATATTTCTAATAATTCTAGAGACTCTGTTCTTGAAACACTCACCTTTATAATAACTTTATTTGCAGCCTCTATTCCGTATGTCCCTGCTATAGCATGGATGTCATTGGAGTACAAGTGATTTAAATCCAGGATGTTTGTATACGTATACATTTCCTGCAAATAAAATGAAAGTTTTCAGGAACTTTTACAGAAAAAAAATAAACTTGTACATGAATATTATCATTTTTTAAATAATTGACAACAAATTCTGGTAGCATACAACTTGATCAGATTTTTCATAAAAAACAAAACATGAGTCTTGCTGCCCTAAGCACTTTGACGAGGAAAAAGCAAAAATCATTTTGCAAAAGTTAAAGTATAAGTTAAAATGGTCCGTGGAAAGGGGTGGGGTCATGGTTTGAAAAAAATTGAGTCTACACCACTTGAGTTGCTTCGGTACATCTCGGTACCAGTAAGTATGACCAATCATGGCTTTGCTATACTCTAGAGAACAAGATTTTTCAGAATTTACCCGGATGTTAATTCCCTCTGTACAGATGTGGAGTTCTGGATGATCTTGACCTTTAACCTCTTTCAGCAGACACCTGTTTATTCCTGGGACACAGTGGATAACTGTTTCCTTTGCATGTTCTTCAATTAAGGATGTGAGATCTATCTTACTGTTCAGCAAGCCAAACTGTAAAATTAGAAAGAATCTCAAAAACTGTATTTATTTCATGAGATTATTTCTACAATGTGCTAGAATGAATTGAAGATTGTCCCAACCTCAAGAGTAAATTCACACCAAAGCTCTTTCTTCACATCATATTTGTAATCAGATATGTTGGAGCTGGATTGTAGCACAAACTAAAGTGAAAAACAGATCCAGTGTAAAGATTTCATTTAATATGTGTGTTATATTCACTACAAAAAATTATATTACAGCTTTAAAGAAATCATGCATATGCTTTCAATAAAGTGCAAGGGGCAGAAAATTTTGTTTTATTATAAATGTGTGGGGGTCAGCCAGGTTTGATCGCCACTGGCCGGATAGCTAAGTTGGTAGAGCACACAACCAGGAATTCAGGGGGCCTGAGTTCGAATTCGGGTCTGCATTTTTTTCTCTTCTCCCATTACAAATGTATTTC